AGCGGAAGCCAGTGGAGGGATTGGCAGAGAGGGGTGGCTGATATCCCATTATGAAGCGTAAACATCTTGATCATATAAGAAATGTACTTTCTATGAATCTCTGCAGCTCTGCCGCCTGCAACATATATTGAAGATACTTCTTCAGAAGGTTATTGTTGTCGGTTGCCTAGCCTCCCACTTTCTTTCTACTATTCAAGTGATTTCACTGGACTTTTGTTTTTGTTTTTAATCACACTGTTTTTATTGTCTGATTTATTGTGTGTCCACCATGTCTTAAGCTAATCCTTCAAGAGGATCACTGTGATCATAATAAAGTGATTGTTTTGCATCTGTTTGGATGTATTCTTTACTATGCTATGGATTTAGATCCCGATCTTTTTGCAGTTTGCTCTTGTCAACTGCTTTCTCTTTTTTGTAAATTCAGGGAGCAGCACCTTCATGGCAGTGGCAAGAAATGGGTTAAAGCTTTAAAAGTACAACCCCTGCACAAGTTAAAGTGTATGTAAACCCTCACCTTGTGAAACAACCCATTTATTTAAAAATATAAATGGAAGGCAAAACATTTGTGTATAGCTATAAAAAAAAAAAACATTTTAATTACCCTTTTTCCCTTTTTTGTAAGTGATCACGTAATGTGCTTTCAGCTGCATAAGGAGCTCCGAGAGCTAGGGGAGGAGAAGCAGCAGTACACTGGTCCTCCCAGAATAATTGTGCAGAGGGGGCGTGTCTTCAGAGTCTGATCACTGGAGGAGATCTTTGCCCCCCTGCCTAGTGTGGTCAGTTTTCAATAGGAAAGCAGAGGAACTGGCAGGTACACCAGGGATTTCACACAAAGGAAGCAATACAAGAGAACAGGATATGTTTTTCATACACGTATATGGTACAGCAAGAATGTATCAAGAACATGAAATGTTTGGTTTACATATTCTTTAATTGATTATTATGTCTAGGGATAGAGGAATGAAAAAAAAATACTTCCCTTATCCCAGCAGGCTCTCTCCAGCCGTGTGACCAGTCCCCTGCAGTGCTGGCCATACACTATACAATTTGATATGACTCCTTTAACTTTACCAAAGCTTTATGATATGAGGTTAAACCTAAGCTATCCACCCAATTGGTATGAAATCAGGCAGGCTCTTGTAGTGCATAGTGGATGGTAGATCTAAAAGAGATTGTACAATCAGCCGAAGATGCTACCAGCTGCGATTGCATGCTCTCCCCCACCATGTGCAACACTGAGTTAATAGCCCTGCATTGTATGTGATGATGCTGAAGGATGATCCACAGATGAAAACTTCTGGGAGAAGAGGGCAGCTCCAGAGTAGGGGATAGGTTATCTAATAATGCCCGTTCCTCTGCCCTCTATGCATAACAAGCATTTAACCCTTGCAGTGTTAGGGCCCCTCAACTCATTTTCTATATTCCGGAATGCAAAACAAAAAAAAAATTCCTTGCAAAGATGCTTCCCATGCACTGAAAAAGTTAAATCTTTATGTCAGTAAAAAAAGACTTTTATGCTTACCTATACCTACTTATCCCTGGCTTTGGCGGGCTATCTCCACACTATAAGACCAACCACTGGCACCTCTAAAGCACTCCACGATCCCAGGCACTCTGAGGTCATCAAGTACTATGCATTGTGTATGAGACACCGAGGGACCTGCCTTCAGCCCAGAGCGTCAGGAAGAAGAGTTGAGCCAGGGGACTGAGGGCTAAGTAAAACTTTTTTTTCTTGTATTAGTTTTGGACAGAGTGGAAAGGGATTAGATAACCTGTCAGGTTTTATTGCTGTCTGTGTCCCAGTTAAGAAGATTTGCCCTCTCTATATGTCATGTTTACCATTATCAACAAAAGTGAAAGTAAACCCATATTTTGGGTTGTCCCCAGAAAAGTAATAGAGGAATTCTTCCAATGGAGACACTAGTTCTGGTGGCAACCAGGGATTCCCCTACTTTGAAGGGATTTGCTCTCACTTCTGGTTGTGGCTATGGGACAGGGGGTGAAGGGAAATCTCCCTTCAGATGGCCAAGAAAAAAACTTACATAGGTTATGTTTTGTGCTGTGTATGTATTTCTTGTGTTGAAGTGACATGAGAGTGTTAGAAGCTTTCCATAACCTAATATCTGATTAATAACATTACTAACATATGTATGAATGTGTTGGATCTTAATAGAATAATTGAGTTGATATATTTCTATTTGTTCTAGATTGGGAAAAGTGTGTGTGTATGTATATGTGTATCTATCTCTCTCTCTCTCTATAATCTATACACACACATATATACAGTCAGGTCCATAAATATTGGGACATCGACACAATTCTAACATTTTTGGCTCTATACCCCACCACAATGGATTTGAAATGAAACGAACAAGATGTGCTTTAACTGCAGACTGTCAGCTTTAATTTGAGGGTATTTACAGGTGAACGGTGTAGGAATTACAACAGTTTGCATATGTGCCTCCCACTTTTTAAGGGACCAAAAGTAATGGGACAGAATAATAATCATAAATCAAACTTTCACTTTTTAATACTTGGTTGCAAATCCTTTGCAGTCAATTACAGCCTGAAGTCTGGAACGCATAGACATCACCAGACGCTGGGTTTCATCCCTGGTGATGCTCTGCCAGACCTCTACTGCAACTGTCTTCAGTTCCTGCTTGTTCTTGGGGCATTTTCCCTTCAGTTTTGTCTTCAGCAAGTGAAATGCATGCTCAATCGGATTCAGGTCAGGTGATTGACTTGGCCATTGCATAACATTCCACTTCTTTTCCTTAAAAAACTCTTTGGTTGCTTTTGCAGTATGCTTTGGGTCATTGTCCATCTGCACTGTGAAGCGGCGTCCAATGAGTTCTGAAGCATTTGGCTGAATATGAGCAGATAATATTGCCCGAAACACTTCAGAATTCATCCTGCTGCTTTTGTCAGCAGTCACATCATCAATAAATACAAGAGAAGCAGTTCCATTGGCAGCCATACATGCCCACGCCATGACACTACCACCACCATGCTTCACTGATGAGGTGGTATGCTTAGGATCATGAGCAGTTCCTTTCCTTCTCCATACTCTTCTCTTCCCATCACTCTGGTACAAGTTGATCTTGGTCTCATCTGTCCATAGGATGTTATTCCAGAACTGTGAAGGCTTTTTTAGATGTCGTTTGGCAAACTCTAATCTGGCCTTCCTGTTTTTTTTGAAGCTCACCAATGGTTTACATCTTGTGGTGAACCCTCTGTATTCACTCTGGTGAAGTCTTCTCTTGATTGTTGACTTTGACACACATACACCTACCTCCTGGAGAGAGTTCTTGATCTGGCCAACTGTTGTGAAGGGTGTTTTCTTCACCAGGGAAAGAATTCTTCGGTCATCCACCACAGTTGTTTTCCGTGGTCTTCCGGGTCTTTTGGTGTTGCTGAGTTCACCGGTGCGTTCTTTCTTTTTAAGAATGTTCCAAACAGTTGTTTTGGCCACGCCTAATTTTTTTGCTATCTCTCTGATGGGTTTGTTTTGTTTTTTCAGCCTAATGATGGCTTGCTTCACTGATAGTGACAGCTCTTTGGATCTCATCTTGAGAGTTGACAGCAACAGATTCCAAATGCAAATAGCACACTTGTAATGAACTCTGGACCTTTTATCTGCTCATTGTAATTGGGATAATAAGGGAATAACACAAACCTGGCCATGGAACAGCTGAGAAGCCAATTGTCCCATTATTTTTGGTCCCTTAACAAGTGGGAGGCACATATGCAAACTGTTGTAATTCCTACACCGTTCACCTGATTTGGATGTAAATACCCTCAAATTAAAGCTGACAGTCTGCAGTTAAAGCACATCTTGTTCGTTTCATTTCAAATCCATTGTGGTGGTGTATAGAGCCAAAAATGTTAGAATTGTGTTGATGTCCCAATATTTATGGACCTGACTGTATATGTATATATATATGTGTGTGTGTGTGTGTATATATATATGTATATGTATATATATATGTATGTATGTGTGTGTGTATATATATATATATATGTGTATGTATGTATGTATGTGGATATATATCTTGGTTTTCCTCTCTACATTCTAGCAATATGTGGTAGTAATTAGTCATGAATTGGCTAGCTAGCTTTCCTCCCCCGTTTCCCCCCATCTCTGTGGGTAGGAGCTAAAGTTTCACTAATAAAAGTATTGTAAGAATCTTGTTAAGCATACAAGATTTATACTGTAATATTTCTTGATTAGGAGATTTATATACAATATAACTTTATATTAAGATTACTTTTGGAAGATTATATATATATATATATATATATATATATAATTTGTGACATATCCTATCCCCCCTGACTGATGGAATGTCAGTGAAGTTCTGACTAGAGGTCCCAAGGATTAAATTACAGACTCTCTCCTAGGGGAGGAGAGTTAGACTGAAGGTTTGTTCAATACATCTGTTACCGGATATCATTGTAGGACTATAAGAGACAGAAAGGAAAATCGGCCCACTTTTAGGAGAAGGTGGGGGCTGAATTGTTTTTTTTTTAGAGCAGAACAAAGACTTTTTTAGTGGGACATTTTACAAGCTGGGCTAAGGAGCCCACAGATTCACATCACACACACACACACACAATTATACACACACTTTTTATCTCAAGAACATAACTATATTTTTTGGACATTATCTAAACATTCTGTGTTCCAAGATTTTATTTCTAATTTTTTGCAATATTATTATTAAATCAATTTTTGAGTTTGATGCAAGAGCTGAAAGGACTTTCTATTTTGGACTTTTCTCACCAACACAAGTTAACAAAATATCGAGACAACCCGGTATTTTACAGAGAGTAGGTGGATTTGTTTGCTATTGTACCACAATGCACATACAGCATGTCTTGTACCACACATCAACATGTGCTACAATACTGCAGCTTTCAGCAAATTCAGTGTTCAACTTTTCACAAGATTTAAAGATATGTTAAAGTCAGATTTCACCTGCTAATATTTTGCTTGACAGCAAAGGGAATTCAGAAACAAGAAAAGGGATGTCTTCGAAGATATACTTGAAGAGCGGCGCCAGTCGAGTGACCTGAGATACGCCATGAAATGTTTTTCCCCTGTGATCTACAGAAGTCTTGTACCATGCAAGGCAAGTGCCCTGAAAACCATGGTGTTGCACTCCGAGCAGCTGCAATATGTTATCAAACAGGTAATTTTTTAAAATGTTATTTTACTATTATTTCTTAAAGTGGTTGTAAAGGCAAATTTTTTTTTTACCTTAATGCATTCTCTGAATTAAGGTTAAAACAATTTTATGTGCAGCTCCCCCTTGCCTCCCCAAAATACCTACCTGAGCCTGATCTCAATCCAGCACTGTGCCCAAGAGCAGCAGCTCTATTCTCTCTCTCTCCTTAATGGACTCATTGAGAGCAACGGTAGCCATTGCCTCCTGTTTCTGTCAATCAAATCCAGTGATGAAGGGGCGGGGCCAAGCGGCACTGCCTGTGTCAATACACGCACTTAGTGTGGCATGGGTTCAAGCCTACATGAGTGTTCCAATAGCAATCGCTTGCTATGTGGGAAATTGGAAGGCAGGAGTGCCAACCTTAAAATTTCATTAGATATTACAGTAACTCCACATTGACTTAAATTGTTACTAAACCCAGGACGCCACATTCACTACATATCTGGTTTCCCACAGAACATGGAAATGCAATTATTTTAGTAAATATAAACTGCTAAATACCTTTTCTCATCAGCAGTTAGAGCAGTCTATCAGTGTCCAGCAGAGCACTGGTTAAAGCTTGTAGGAGGAGTTTTCATTCTCCCCTGATTGTCCTGTGAGGTGGCATAACCTTTCACCCTCTGTCTGGACAGCGCTGATTGGCCCTGTGCTGATCACATGCACCCTCCCAAGAAAAAAAATCCTCTCTAGCAATAACACAAAATTGAGCATGTGCAGCCCCAAAGGCTCTGTTCTATTAGGAAATGGATTGGGGACAGTATTATTTTATTATCATTATACAGGATTTATATAGCGCCAACAGTTTGTGCAGTGCTTTACAAAATGAAGGTAATCATTACAGTTCCAATACAATTTGGTACAAGAGGAAACAGAGGGCGCTGCTCGTTAGGGCTTACAATCTAAGAGGAAGGGTTGAGTGATACAAAAGGTAATAGCTGTGGGGGATGAGCTGATGGAGGAAATAAATGGCGATTTACTAGGTAGAAGCAGGATAGGCTTCTTTAATGAGAAAGGTTTTCAGGGATTGTCTAAAGGTGGATAAATTAGGAGACAGCCGGACAGATTGGGGTAGGAAGTTCAATAGCATGGGAGAAGCTCGGGAGAAGTCTTGGAGGTGAGCATGGGAGGAGGTGACATGGGAACTAGAGAGCAGAAGGTCTTGAGAGGATCAAAGAGAGCAGTTTGGTTGATATTTTGAGAAAAGGTTGGTGATGTAGCTGGGGGCAGAGTTGTGGATGGCTTTGTAAGTTGTTGTTAGTATTTTGAATTTTATTAGTTGGGCGAGTGGAAGCCAGTGAAAGGATTGGCAGAGAGGGGTAGCAGACACTGGATTTGTATTTACCTAATTATATCTTCAAGAAAGGGGCGATTGGGAATTTTCCACAAGATACATTTGGACTTTATATTGATTATTTTGCACTTATGTATTTGTTATGCACTTTTGTTATTTCATTTTGATTTAGGATACTATACTAAAAGCATTTTGATTTAAGGAGCCAATGCCTACTTTACAAAGATTTTTCATAAGAACATCCATATGAAAATCTACCAATTGTATGGCCAGTTTATGCAGAAAACTAAAAGCCGCCATAATCCGATAGAAACCATGAAGTCAATGACAGGCTGAGAGGATTAATCAAGTAAATGCAAACCAGGATTACACAGCAGCTCTGACAATACAAATATGTAGTTAAAGTTGAATGCCTCATTTAATTACGCTAAATATTTGCCTTTGGTACAAAAACATTCTCGAGGTCTCTTGAAATCAACACCAGCAGTGAGCATGATGAGCCTAGAAGACAGGATCAGACAGCCTTTTTTGCACAATGTAGAGGATTAACCTCTTGGGTTCCACAGTGAGCATAACAAGCATGCTTTCCTGCATATACAGACTGGCTTTGCTGTTGTGGGTTTAGTAACACTTTAAAGCTCACTATGCACGATTAGGGGTTTTTTTGTTTGTTTTTTTTTTATTCAACCAGTGGGCTGAACAAAAAAAAAATCAACAGATTCCTTCATCCACACAAATGAGGTGAATGGAGGAATTCTCCCCTCCCCTCACCCCCTTCCCATTGGCTGTAGTCTGTGATCAAGAAAAGTTTTCCAGTTTGTCCCTTTGACCGAAGTCGATCAAGTGATCAACTTCTGTTGAGTTAGGACCACCACTCAGTGATTGGAATTCAGCAGCACACTGCTGACTCAGCCATATTTTGAACAGTGTATGGCCAGCTTAATGGGAAAAAAAAACCAATCTTCCCTAGGCCAGGTATCTACACCCATTGTAATGTATAGCCCAAACTTTTTGTTTTGGGTAGAGTAGGGAAGGACTGGAACCCCTGTCAAGTTTCACACTATTTGTTTGCCCTGATCACCAGTGTCACTAGGATAGAAAGTGATGCAAATTCCAGAATGGTAAGTGAGGATAAATCTTCCAACCTGTTGGGTTTTAACCTTTCACTAATCTATCCAAAAATAAAGATAAAGTTTTGTTTATACAAACATTTTAAGTGCAGAGTTAATACCCTGTTCATATTTGATGCTTGATTTGAAGATTCACCAGAAAGGCTTTAATGCCCATCACTAACGAAACCAAAATGATGCAGCGCTACCCGAATAATAAAATAATACAATATGGCAAAAACAAACAAAGTGACATAAATATATATATATGTGACAAAAAATCAGTGGATCGATCCTCTCTGGAGATCTCAATATAAAGTGACATAAAAATATATATACATGCCAATAAATCAGTCACTTTATATTGAGATCCCCAGAGAGGATCAATCCACTGATTTTTTGTCACATATATATATTTATGTCACTTTGTTTGTTTTTTCCATATTGTATTATTTTATTATTCGGGTAGTGCTGCATCATTTTGGTTTCGTTCGTTTTTATTTCCACGTGGTATATGGTTAGGTGCTAGCAGCTCCCACTCACCTAATTTATCACGTAATCGTAGCGCAGGAGATCTTCATTATTTTTAATGCCCTTCACTAGAATTTCTATTATATTTAAAGGTGCCCATTCACACCCCAGAATAGTGGTGCTTGAAGCTCCTGGTTGGGAAAAGTACAGGAGCATGTTTTGTGGTCATACATTTTGGCTCCAATGGACTTTACTGGATGTGCTCGTAAAATGTAATGCATATATATATTTTATTATTTTTTTGAGTTAAAATTTCCCGTCATTGAGAATTTTTTCTAACTACCCAGCACATTGTATTATTTCCTTTTTAAGGTTTATTTTGCACGCTTTTTTTAACAATATAAATTGGCTTAAATAATGTAAAACTTCTAAAATAATACACTTTATTTTTTATATTTCCTGAATTGTATTTTGTGCTACGCTGTGCTTTTGAATACATTATAAATACATTAGATGCGACTTCAGGTGCAATTTGTAAATCGCATGTCGCACCGGTGTGAACCAGGGCTAAAACTGAAGTTTACTGCTTAAATATTGCTGTTCCTGATTCCTCCTTTCCCTCCTCATCAACATACTAATGAAATTTGTAAATGAAGCCTTTCTGTTTTCATTATATATATATATATATATATATATATATATATCTTAATTTACTCCCTGCGACATCATCACTGGGTCTCTGTGCTTCTCTATGCAATGGAGGCATGTCATGGACGGTGGTAGTTGCTGTATGCATAGCTTCCTGAAAATGTCACAACGCTCTGCCTGTACCCCCTATCAAGAGCCCAAAGCCATGATTATTATTATTATACAGTATTTATAAAGCGCCAACAGCTCAGCGCTGTACTTTACAGAGGGGGACAGAACATGCGACATAACAATACAATGTGATACACAAGGGGTTTGAGGGCCCTGCTCTTTCGAGCTTACAATCTAGGAGGGAGGGGATGGTGACACAGGAGTAGATAGCTGTGGGGGATGGAGTGGTAGGAAGAGTGGAGGAGGTCGGCAAGTTAGCAGGGGGTGGGGTAGACTTCCCTGAAGAGATGGGTTTTCAGGGTGCGCCTAAAGGAGAGGAGAGTAGGTGATAGTCTGATGGGTTGGGGCAGGAAGTTCCAGAGGATGGGTGACACCCTGGAGGAGTCCTGGAGGCGGGCATGGGAGGAGGAGACCAGGGAACTAGAGAGAAGGAGGTCTTGTGAGGAGCGGAGTGTGCGTGCTGGGCGGTACTTGGATATTAGGTCAGTGATGTAGTTCGGGGCAGTATGGTGGACAGCTTTGTACGTCAGTGTTAGGATTTTGAATTTGATCCGTTGCGCAATCGGAAGCCAGTGGAGGGATTGGCAGAGGGGGGTGGCGGAGACAGAGCGGTTGGAAAGGTGAATGAGTCTGGCAGCCGTATTCAGGATGGACTGAAGCGGGGATACCCAGCGGCGACACAGGCCAGTGAGGAGGGAGTTGCAGTAGTCAAGTCGTGATATGATGATGGAGTGGATGAGCTGTTTAGTGGTTTCTGGGGTTAGGAACGTGTATTTTGGCGATGTTGCGGAGGTGGAGTCTGCATGAGTTAGTTAATGATTGGACTTTGTGCTGGAAGGATACGTTGGAGTCCAGAATGACACCAAGTACTCTGGCCTGCGGGGCGGGTGTGATGGTGGCGTTGTTGGATGTGATGGAGAAGTCAGTGGGGGGTGGTGTGTGGGCTGGGAGGAAGACAAGAAACTCGGTTTTGGAGAGGTTCAGTTTAAGGAAGCAAGCCGCGTGCTAGCTTTTGAGAGAATTATGCAAATATTAACATGCCTTGATGGGTGAATGTCAGTCTGGAGGACTGGGCATTCCAAGGTATAATCTGAGAAGCCCACAGTGTGCAGTGGAATCGGAGTATGTCATTTCAATGTAGCAGAGGAGCCTGTACAGTTGTACGAGACTAAAGGTAAGGCTGGAGTTCCGCTTTAATATGTTACTATACTTTGTGCATTATTTTTGCTCATTATATGGCTTTCATGATCTAGCTGCAAAGAGGCCGTGGTTCATATGTGTAATATTTGGGATACGTCTGTATTGTATCTGCAGATCAGTTTGGAATCTGAAGAATCATGTGATGTTATTCAGGATCAGGCAGCTGAGATCCTTGATGAAATGGGTCAAAATTTAAATCTTGCAGCTATTCGAATGTTTGCTCTCAGCTTGAGCAAGATCTTCAAAGCACTATTCCAAAAAGTTTGTGTCAACGAGGAGGGCATACAAGGGGTGAGTTTATGTGTGATCTTTGTTTTATTGTTTTTTGTTTTATATCAGAGTACAGAAAGAAACTGGACAGCAGTAACCGTTCTGGTTAGTGGTGCACCGAAATGAAAATTCTGGTGCCGAAACCGATACTGAAAATTCAGAATGTATGTGGCCAAAAGTCGAACCGAAGTGTCTGTGTATGAGGGGGTGGGGAGGCTCCAATTTTTCTTTTCTTATTATTTTTTATTTCTACTTTCGTGTGTGTGTGTATGTATGTATGTGTGTGTGTGTGTGTGTGTGTGTATATATATATATATATATATATATATATATATATATATATATATATTTATTTATTTTTAAACTTAGGATTTTATTGCTATCCCCCATAGTCCCCTATGTGATCGCATATGAGTGACAGGTCCTCTTTCTTCATTATAGCTCACAGAATAAGCTGTAACTTTCCCTGGAGCTAAAGGAAACTTTGTTTCTTTTATCTCGGGAAAGAAACTAAAAGGAAGCATTGGAAACAGATAAAATGGTTTAAAGTGAGCGCTCCTGAGTAAGCAGCTAAAGCACTAAAGGTAATCACAGTGTACCCATAAAATGACAAGTAAAACAGAGTGCAGCGCTAAAAAATATATAAAGTGCAAAAGAAAATGGTCCGTGGTTAATAAATTGATTCATATGAGTAAGTCCCAATAAAGATAGCCGATGAAACCAGGAAACAATGGAAAGAATGCGCACTCACTGGACGCGCATGGAAAATGCACATATAATTAATATCCACTGGAATCTTTATAGTAGATGAAGAAGGTTAAGTTCAATCTGTAGGTCAATCAGCCTGGGAAAATGTATTGGAAGTCCGGAGGTCCCCTTAAGGATGGTATGGTGCTCAGCCAGAATCCAAAACTCCGTCCCTCTGGTGGTGGTAGATCAAACTATAGGAATATGGGTATCCCCTCTGATGATGTGCTTTGGCACGAAAGGCCTTAGGAGGAACCGACAGAGCATGACGTCATTTCCCGTCCGGAGCCACGAGATAGCCCGGCGGCCATTTTAACTGAGGGATTCCTGTAGTTTGACCTACCACCACCAGAGGGACGGAGTTTTGGATTCTGGCTGAGCACCATACCATCCTTAAGGGGACCTCCGGACTTCCTATACATTTTCCCAGGCTGATTGATCTACAGATTGAAGTTTACCTTCTTCATCTACTATAAAGATTCCAGTGGATATTAATTATATGCTCATTTTCCATGCGCGTCTGGTGAGTGCGCATTCTTTCCATTGTTTCCTGGTTTCATCAGCTATCTTTATTGGGACTTACTCATATGAATCAATTTATTAACCACGGACCATTTTCTTTTGCACTTTATATATTTTTTAGTGCTGCACTCTGTTTTACTTTTAAAAGGAAGCATTGTTTCTTTTAACTCAGGGAAATACACTAAAAGGAAACTTTGTTTCTTTTAGCTGGGGGGAAAGTGACAGCACTAGTGAAGAAAAAAAAGCTGGTAATTACTTAAAAAAAAAACGGCACTGTCAAATAGCGACAGCCAGTCGCTGTATACACTGCTCCTCTCCTTCCTTTCTCAGCCGCCCCCCTTTCTCACCTGCGCCTGCAGTACCACAGTCTCCTGTCTCGGCACCTGTATCGGCTAAATTTTTCCTATCGACAAAATGCAGATAGGGCTATTTTCGGCTGATGTTTCAGTGGCCGAAATTTCGGTGCATCCCTAGTTGTGGCGTATAAAAATAGTATTAGATACAGGTTGTGCGTATAATAATAAAATTAGTAATAATGGCCGAATACAAAAACATGGAATTCTGAGACCATAGACTTTAGGGTGCCGTGGTTGTGGTGAAACAAGCTTCATGGTACAATAGGAAGTAAGAGGTCAACATATCATTTGTAGTATATTGCCAACCAGGCAATTAGCAATACTTTGTTTTGGATTTCAAAGAGAAACTTGATACATGTTAATGCCATGTTTCTTCCACATAATAGGTAGAATAGAACAGAAATGATACATCCAGCAAGGTTTGATCCATCATAGCAGGGCCATTTCAGTATCCTGTGGTCAGAGTTCAATGATATAGTAAACTTTGATAAGGAGGGTAACAATTGTGAAAACAATCACTATATAATACCAATAAAAGATGAGACATGCATAGTAGAATTTTTGTTCTGTCACTAGTTGAAAGAGGTCCAGAATGATAGCCAGAGAAATCAAGAATTAGAAAGTGGAGTTGCGGAGAGTTAAGTTATGTTTAAAGCCTAATACAATTCTCTTTATGGTTCTGTACCCTTTCATATAATGATTTATGACTGATTTTTGCTTTTGAATGCCTTAAACTAGAACTATAAGCAACTTTTTTTTTCACTTTGGATAGTGAAAAAAAAAGTTGCTTATAGTTCTAGTTTAAGGCATTCAAAAGCAAAAAGCAGTCATAAATCATCATATGATTTTTTTTTTTTTTTTGCCATCTGTGTTTTCATTGGGGAAATTTATCTTCATTTGCTGCCCCATAGCCAAACAAGGAATGAGAGGAAATCCTTGCAAATTAACTGCTTCCCGTCCGCCCTATAGCAGAAATACTGCTACAGGGCAGCACGGGTGCGCAAAATCACGTGTATATATACGTGATTTTTCATTTCCGGGTAGGGGGCACGCACGAGCGACCCACGCCGCCATTCGCGGCTGGGACTGTCAATTACTGGGTCCCGGCTGGTAATTACTCGCCCTTGCCTGGTGATTTCCGAAGGTCTCCGACAGGGAGGAGGACTGTTTTTTGTTTACTAATAGTTCTCCCTGTCAGCTCGCGCACACTGCTCTTGATGGCTGTGCACAGCGCAGCCTTCCAGAGCAGTGTGATTACAGTGAAGCACACAGACACCGCCCCCTAGTAAAACCCTTTGACCGCCCGTCATGTTAACCCCTTCCTGCCCAGTGCCATTAGTACAGTGTCAGTACTTTTTATTTAGCACTGATCACTGTATTGGTGTCACTGGGGATGTCTGTGAAACCAAGTCAGTTCCCCCCAGTGTCAGAATGCCCGCCGCAGTCCCGCTATAAGTCGCTGATCGCCGCCATTACTAGAAAAAAAAAAAAAAAAAAAAAAAATCCCAGTATATATACCGACTTTTGTAAACGCTATAACTTTCACGCAAACCAATTAATTTACATGTATTGGGATTTTTTTTTTAGCAAAGACATGTAGCAGAATACATTTTGGTGTAAATTTATGATGAAATTGGATTTTTTTTTTTTTAATTTTTTACTGGACAATAGCAAAAAGTCAAAAATATAGTTTTTTTTTCTCAAAATTATCGTTTTTATAAAGCGCAAAAAATAAAAAATGCACGGGCAATCAAATACCACCGAAAGAAAGCTCAATTTGTAGGGGAAAAAAAGGGACGTAAATTTCATTTGGGTGCAGTGTTGCAGGACCACGCAATTGTCAGTTAATGTAACGCAGCGCCGTAATGCAAAAAATGGCCTGGGCAGGAATGGGGGTAAATCCTCAGGAGGACAAGTGGTTAAGGGAATCCCTTGGGCCTCCCAGGTCATCAGAATTAGTGTCTATATTGGAAAATTCCCCCCTTTTTACTTTTCTGTGGACAAGCCAAAATTTTTTCTTTTCCTTTCAATATCAACAATAATGTTAAATGGGACAAATGGAGGCTATAGGTCTGAACTGACGACTGAAAGTGGTTGAAATTGACTGAAAATGTATGGTGAGCTTCAATGCTTGCCATAATGCTGACCCCTCTTACTTTCATTTTCAGGCAATTTTAACTAGCTTTGAATCCATAAGAAATGAATAGATCAAGGCATCGACCACCATCACTTTAAGTGAATGTTGATAAAAACTGTTAGCAATTATGTTACAGTCATCATTTTGGTAATTTATGTGATTAAAACCTAGTTGAAATAATTAACCACTTAAATAAGGGGCACTTTTACCCCCTTCCTGCCCAGGCCAATTTTCAGGTTTCAGCGCTCTCACACTTTGAATGACAATTGCGCGGTCATACAACACTGTACCCAAACTAAAATTTTATAATTTTGTTCACACAACTAGAGCTTTCTTTTGGTGGTATTTAATCACCACTGGGGTATTTATATTTTGCTAAATTAACAAAAAAAGACTGAAAATTTTGAAAAAAAAAAACATGTTGTTCTTTGTTTCTGCTATAAAAGTTTGCAAATAAGTTAATTGTTCTTCATAAATTTAGGCCAAGATGTATTCTGCTACATTTATTTGGTGAAAATAACCCAAATCAGTGTTTATTATTTAGCCTGTAGGAAAGTTATAGAGTTCACAAACTATCGGATATATCTGAAAATTGATCAATCCTGAAGTACTGACGGCCAATCTAATTTCTTGAGGCCCAAAAATGTCAAAACAGTACAGATATCCTCCAAATTACCCCTTTTTGCAAAGTAGACAGTCCGACGTATTTCATAAGAGGTATGGCGAGTTTTTTGAAGTTGTAATTTCTTTGTAATCATTTTTTGGAAAATGAAGAAATTAAAAAAAATATTTTTACAATATTTTTTTACATACTGTCACCAGTGCAGTACAGCATCGGCATATAACTGTTGTGGCGGTGATCAGGGACACTGACTGGTGACAGTACAAAAAAAAATTATAATTTAAAAAAAAAAATTGTATTTTTTTATTTTTTATTACATTTTTTTTTCTTTTTTAAGATTTTTTTTTCATATTTGTTTTTTATATTACGCTATGACCAAAGTAGTATAATGTTACCATAGTAACATTGTAGTTTGTAGAAGTGATCAGTATTTTTTTTTTTTTTTTTTTTTACACAATTTGATTGCTTGCAGCAAAGAATTTCTTTGCTACAAGCAAGCATTTAACTGAAATTGATTCATTCAGATTGTTTTCTTGTGATTAGCTGTGATTGGCCACAGCTGGGCTGTGAATAGCCCAGCCTGTGCATGTGATCACTGATCGTTCACAGCTAGACACACTTATATACAATGAATGCCATGAAAGGAAGCCATCTATTGTATACAACTGTCATGTGACCTGCTGTGATTGGTCACAGCAGGTCACATGGTACTGGCAACGGGGCCGGTACACAGATCTGTCATCAGCCATGTCCGAGGTACACAGCCAGTGACCAATCTCGCCACAGCACGGCCTGCGGGCAATGCACAATCTGGGAAGGGCGTCATATGATGCCCTCCCGGAGGGACGAACTGGTCGCCCGGCCGTCATCTGACAATAGGCCGGGTGGCAACTGGTTAAAGGATCACCTTTTGAACAAAAAATAACACTTTTTTTTTTTTTTTTTTGCAGTTAAAAAATATGCATGTATTATTTTTTTTCCTAAGGAGCCTGCAGAGCATTGCACCTGTAATGCCAGGCTCCTGCAGGCTCTCAGGATAGCTGCATGCTTGTATCTCCCACATCACATAGGCCAGTGGTCGGCAAGCCGCGGCTCGCGAGCCACATGCGGCTCTTTACCCACTCTAATGCGGCTCTTCTGTGTGCCGGGCGCCTGCTCCCCTCCCTCCTCTCGGTCGGCCGCTCCCCTGCCTCCTCTCGGTTGGCAGCCCCAAAAGTCCGCGCGGACCTTTTAATCCGGCCCGCGGATGTGGCTGTCAGGATGTGTGTAGGCGGGGCAGCGTGCCGAACGTGAGGGGAGGGGAGCTAGGCTCCTCTCACAGTCCGCCCTGAAGACCCGAACGGCGCGGGAAGACAGCGAGAGGAACGCAAAAGGTAAGTGAATTGACACGGGGGACTTGGCTTACTAGAAGGGGGGGGGGATAGTACTGTGGGGGATGAAATACTATATGAGGGATAAATTACTTTTATGAGGGATGAATTACTATATGGGGGGATGAAATACTATATGAGGGATGAAATACTATATGAGGGATGAATTACTATATGAGGGATGAAATACTATATGAGGGATGAATTACTTTATGAGGGATGAATTACTATATGGGGGATGAATTACTATATGAGGGATGAATTACTATATGAGGGATGAAATACTATATGGGGGGATGAAATACTATATGGGGGGATGAAATACTATATGAGGGATGAATTACTATATGGGGGGATGAAATACTATATGGGGGGATGAAATACTACTATATGGGGGGATGAAATACTATATGAGGGATGAAATACTATATGAGGGATGAAATACTATATGGGGGGATGAAATACTATATGGGGGATGAAATACTATATGGGGGATGAATTACTATATGAGGGATGAAATACTATATGGGGGGATGAAATACTATATGAGGGATGAAATACTATATGAGGGATGAAATACTATATGAGGGATGAATTACTATATGAGGGATGAAATACTATATGGGGGGATGAAATACTATATGGGGGATGAATTACTATATGAGGGATGAAATACTATATGGGGGGATGAAATACTATATGGGGGGATGAAAATACTATATGAGGGATGAAATACTATATGAGGGATGAAATACTATATGGGGGGATGAAATACTATATGGGGGGATGAAATACTATATGAGGGATGAAATACTATATGAGGGATGAATTACTATATGAGGGATGAAATACTATATGGGGGGATGAAATACTATATGAGGGATGAAATACTATATGGGGGATGAAATACTATACGGGGGATGAAATACTATATGGGGGATAAATTACTATATGGGGGATGAATTACTATGGGGGATGAATTACTATATGGGGGATGAATTACTATATGGGGGATGAATTACTATATGGGGGATGAATTACTATATGGGGGATGAATTACTATGGGGGATGAATTACTATATGGGGGATGAATTACTATGGGGGATGAATTACTATATGGGGGATGAATTACTATGGGGGATGAATTACGATGGGGGATGAATTACTATATGGGGGATGAATTACTATATGGGGGATGAATTACTATATGGGAGATGTATTTTCAGTTTTAAAAATGTGGCTCTCAAAATAAATTTCAATCATGGTTTTGGCGAGATTTGGCTCAGTTGAAAAAAAAGGTTGCCCACCACTGACATAGGCTGTTGCTTGAGAGCAGGAAGAGTCAATAAACTATGAGATCCCTCACCAGTACCCTCAAAGTTCTAATAAAAATAAAATAAACCCATTGAGAACTACAAGCTGTCAGCCTTAATGGCTGATGGTACTTGTAGTCTATTCATTCACAGGAAACTGTGAATGAATGACACAGCTGTGTGGGCGGAGCCCAGCACGGTTATGCTGTTTTCAAATTGTGACAGCAGGTACAAGATCAGGATCTCCTTCCCGCTGTCACAGGGAGGGGGGAATGGGGGGGGGTAAGTGCAGTAGCATGTTATATGTTACACCCTAACAACATGTAACATATTCTAAAGGTGAATTTATCCTTTAATTGAAATTGCTCAAAACTTCTGTGTGGTTTACAATAGGCTGGGTGCACATGGACACATTTTTTTCTAGAGCAATCCTAACCCGGTTCGCCCCGTGATCGCTACTCATGCAGTTGCACATAGAAGCAATCAATTTAAAAAAATTGGAACAATGTACTACAATAGTGGCAATCAACTTGTGAAACAAAAGGGACCTGTGGCCCTTGACAGTAACAGGCTGCACGTTATGTTCAGTATATGTAATAATTGGGCCATACTAGAGGAGATGGTCTGGGACTATGGACATTTAACAGATGTGATTGGAGACACAGGACATTTTGAATGAGACTGCTGGCAATATCTGCCATTGTGTCCTCTTTCAAAAATGTTCCCATTATTGACTGATGGGGTCTGCAAGTAATATAGTGGCAACTGCTGGTGATTAGATGATGATTGCTCTGGCAAAAAAAAAAGCCAAACGCCTGTGTTCCCAGCCTTAGGGCTGTGTGCTGCCATGTGCAGAATTTTCATAGACATTTGAGAAGCGTTAAAAACTCTTCCCAAACGCCTGTCTGACGTCTGCTGACAAAGCTAGTGTGAACTGAGCCTTGACCTCCCTAGCGGTATTCCCGAGTGTACTCGGGGTAAAATGTCAGTACTAAAAGCGGTAACCCCGAGCTACTGTCGGGCTTACCATGCGGCGCTGCATAGGGAGTCCCTGCAGAGCTTACCTTGTCCTTTGCTCCCGCGATGTGTCCCCTGCAGCATCCCCGGCCATCTCCTCCGGCCGATGCCAGCATCCGGCTTCTGTGTTCCTGTCCCTGTGACGTCGGGACGTACGGGCGCCGCCGCCCACGGCGGGAAATGTGAAAATTTAAAAAAAAATTTCATTTTTTTCCAAACAAATTTTACATAGTAAAACATTGCTGTTTCAACCCATTTCACATACATTTTGTCCCTAGTGCTTTGTCCTGTGCCCTGCCTGCATTTTGTCTGTTCTTTCTGCCTAGAAACTGAGAAAAGTCCATGGCGTCCAAAAAGCGTCCCTTTAGGTCAAAAGTGGTTTTAGATCAGCTAGAGAACAGCGATAGTAAATCAGAACCACTTGCAGAATTGAGTGATAATGATTTGTGGGGAAATTCGTCATCAGACACTGAAAACGATTTTGCGACTTTGCTCAGCGATGTGCGAACTTGGCGCTCTATTTCAAATTTCAGTGTTTTTGGTTTGATTATATTATTGAATTAAATGTATTATTATTTATATTATTATTTTTTATGATTATTATTAAATTATAATTTATGATTTCGTGTTTCAAATTTTATCATACCCGGGATGTTTACTAGACTCTTGTTCGGAGAGATTTCAGTGAGTTATTCCTAAAAATTACAGCCTACAATAAAAAATCTACATATTTCCATGCAAAAAAATGTACCGCTTTCAGCACCAAACATCTGAAATAATCATAACGCTAGGGAGGTTAATGTTCCCAAACCAGTCCTCAACACAAATGAACAAATTCTAGCTACTCATTTCATCAGCTTCTTTGTATTGAAAGCTTGCTGGTCCTGTGCCAAATCCACACCATACCACAATTCCATTGCTAGAAGCACACTCTTTGCATATTACTTTTTACTTATGGAATGTAATTTTATCATTTTCTAGCCATGACTGTATTACAGATCTTATGCATTTTTTTTTTATTTAGCACATCAAAAAAAATGTTTAAAATCCCTATTTGCTTACATTTTTTTTTATTTGCAGTTGGCTCAAGCTATTCATGAGCATCCGGTTGTACTTCTACCAAGTCATCGGAGCTACATTGATTTTTTGATGATGTCCTACGTATTGTACACTTATGACCTTGCACTTCCTGTCATTGCAGCTGGGATGGGCAAGTATTCCTTTTATCTGCATATTTATTTATTTATTTTTAAGCATTCATCCCATTTTAATTCTACAGGCTCATTGTACTATTGAAACATAATTGAATCTTGCTATGGGGGAGCTATAGCTCGTTCTAATTTTTTTCTAATGAATGTTTACAGTAACACAACATTCCACATGTCTCTGATTTCTCTGTGACAACTGATGGAATTTGAACATTTCCCTTTTGGCACAATTTATGCCTCAAGAGATGTTTGAAATAGATACTTAAATACATACTAATTTAAAACGATTTCCTTCCTTAACCACTTCAAGTTCGGATACTTTCACCCCCTTCCTGTCCAGGCCAGCTTTCAGTACTATCACACTTTGAATGACAATTGCGCGGTCATGCAACATTGTACCCATATGAATTGTTTAGCATTTTTTTGGAGACAGATAAATCTCTATTTTAGTGGTATTTAATTCACCACTGGGAATTTAATTTTTTTGCTATTTAAATGAAAAAGTCCAAACAATTTGAAAAAAAGTGTTTTTCTTATAAAAGTTTGCAAATAAATAATCTTTCTTCATAAATCTTGGCCAAAATGTATTCAGCTATCTTTTTGGTAAAAAAAAAAAATAACCCAAAATTTTTTTTGCATTTTCATTTTTTTTTTATATATATATATATATATATATATATATATTTTTTTTAACATACTGTCACCATAGTGATACTATAGTACTTTGGGGGGGGGGGGGGGGGTGATGAAGACTTTTATTTTTTTAATTATTTTTTTTACAATGATTGCTTTTATGCCCATAAAGGCTGTAAAAGTAATCCTTTCTCCTTCTCTCTGGCTGCATTCTTGCAGCCATTGAGAAATACTGTGAGAGCTGTGAATGGCCACAGCTTGTCACATGGTACAAGGCTGTTGTGAATAGCTTGTACCATGTGACCTCTGTGATCCTTCACAGATTTCACTAGTAGTAAGCAATGATGTTAGGAAGTGACATCTTGCTTACTAATATTCATGTGATCACTGATTGGCCAATCAGTGATCACATGATCAGGACCTCACACAGAGATCCCGTACAGCAATTGGTGTTCCGCGTGCTCCCAGGGACCGTACCCATAGGAAACCCATGCTTGGGTGGGTTTCCTATGGGTACTCCCAATTTCTTCCCACACTCCAGAGACATGCTGTTTCATTGGCTCCTGTCTAAATTGGTGTGTGCTGTTGCTGTTGGTCCTACATAAATGGCTTTAACCACTTAAAGTCCAGACACTTTCACCCCCTTCCTGTCCAGGCCAATTCTCCGCTTTCAGCGCTGTCACACTTTGACAATTGCGCAGTCATGCAACACTGTACCCGATAAAAATAGTAAACGAGCGCTAGAAGCGTATAAATGTATAAATAGCAGCTGGCATAAAAAGGTTAAACCTCCAACCCTCATAAACAATAATATCCAACAATGCAGCGCTCAGATAAAATGATCCAAAAAATTCATCACGTAAAAATAAGTGCATCAATGTATGACGTATTTATAAACGCATGCGAAATGAGCTAAATGCTCAGTCCAGTATGAAACCACATAGAAAATGGTTATCTTAGAATCTTAGGAAGTGTCACATAAGGGTGCAAGTCTGCGTCTAAAGATGTCAAATGGTGTATTAGTGACATATAAATAACCTCTTTGAAGATTTATATGTCACTAATACACCATTTTATTTTCTATGTGGTTTCATACTGGACTGAGCATTTAGCTAATTTCGCATGCGTTTATAAATACGTCATACATCGATGCACTTATTTTTATGTGATGAATTTTATGGATCATTTTATCTGAGCGCTGCATTGTTGGATATTAATGCAACACTGTACCCATATGAAATTTTTTAGCATTTTTTGAGACAGATAAAACATTATTTTTGTGGCATTTATTCAACATTGGGATTTTTATTTTTTTTGCTAAATAAATGAAAAAGACCAAACATTTTGAAAAAAAAAGTGATTTTCTTATACAATTTTGCAAATAAATAATCTTTCTTCACAAACCTTAGCCAAAATGTATGCAGCTATCTTTTTGGTAAAAAAATCCAAATTAGTTTATAAAAAAAAACTATAATTTTTCAAAAAAATTTTTTTACATTTTTGTTTTATTTTTTTATATTACTTATGTAGTTTTTTATTATTTTTTTTACATAAACCTTAGCCAGAATGTATTCGGCTATCTTTTTGGTAAAAAAAAATCCAAATTAGTTTATAAAAAAAACTATAATTTTTCAAAATTTTTTTTTTTACATTTTTGTTTTAATTTTTTTTACCTATGTAGTTTTTTATTATTTTTTTTACTTAAACCTTAGCCAGAATGTATTCGGCTATCTTTTTGGTGAAAAAAAAATATAATTTTTTCAAAACTTTTTTTACATTTTTTTTTTAATATTACTTATGTAGTTTTTATTTTTTTTTACATACTGTCACCCTAGCAGTACAGTGTCAGTGACACTGTACTACTTGTGGGGGGTGATGATTTTTTTTTTTTTTTTTTTTTTTTAACACTGATTGTTTTTATACCCATGAAGGTTGTAAAAGCAATAATTTATATTTCTTTCTGGCTGCATTCCTGCAGCCATTGAGAATTACTCTGAAGAGCTGTGATTGGTCACAGCTTGTCACATGGTACAAGGCTGTTGTGAATAGCTTTGTGCCATGTGATCTCTCACAAGTAGTAAACAATGATGTCAGGAAGTGACATCTTGTTTACTACTGTTCATGTGATCACTGATTGGCCAATCAGGGATCACATGAATCGGGACCTCATACAGAGGTCCCGTACAGCGATCCGTTTATCGGCAATGGGCCGGACGGGAAAAGGTTAATAAACAAAGTACTCTTTGCTTTCCCTTTTAATTGTTTACACAGATTTCCAATGAATTACCCACGAAGTGTTTGGAATCTGAGGTACACAGGGCTTATGTGTTGCCTTTGTGATTCTCTTCAGCAGTAGTCAGGGGTTGGGAGGGAGAAAAGTTTGTTCCTTTCTTGTGTGTAATGAGTTGTTTAATCTATTTTTCTCTATTATTAGACTTCATGAGCATGAAAATTGTTGGTGAGCTGCTTCGTATGTCTGGTGCCTTTTTCATGCGACGTACATTTCGAGGAAATAAATTGTACTGGGCAATCTTTGCTGAATATGTGAAGACTATGCTGCGGGTCAGTATAAGAAACAATCTGTTTCTTTAACAATACTTTTCAAAGAAGCTGCCATTGTGATAAATATCATAGGAAAGAGGGTGGAATTTATATGTTTTGATTTGCTACTAAGGCCCGTGACACTCAGTTTGTTACTTTTCATTAAAGAATATGTGACCCCCAACATTTCATACTTCTGATATATGTCTGCTGTGCCATGTACAGGGGTTAAAGGAAAAAATGGAAATGCTATATGATTTGCAGGTGTGAAAGTGACAACATGTTTTTGTGTTGAAAGCAGAAGTGATGTAACATTCTATGCTTCTGCTGTGTGATGAGACACCTAGCTAACTGGTGGGAAGCCTCACTTTCGTCATTCACTGCCGTGTGAGCCATGTCAGCACTTACTGAATTTCAAAGAGGGCAAGTTGTTGGTGTCCGCTTAGCTGGTGCCTCTGTGACTGAAGCTGCAAATTTATTCGCGGTGTGGAAAGGTACAGTATCAAAAGTTATGGCATATACAGTTTTTGGGAAAACGTCGACTGATGAGCAGAAGTGCGGTCGCCATGGTCAACTGACCGAAAAGGACATTGCACAGGATGGTGACTCGAAATAAGAAAACAACTGCTGCAACAGTGACTGCAGAGCTCAATCTAGGTTAGCTAGGTGTCTCATCACACAGCGGAAGCAAACAAATGTTACATCACTTACACTTTCAATGCGAAATATGTTGTCACTTTCACACCTGCAAATCATGTAGTGTTTCCATTTTTGTCTTCCCCCCCCCCCTGTACATGTGTTAGTGTTACTAAACCTACAACAGTAAAATAAGTCTGTATATGCAGTAAAGCATGCTTGATATACTCGCCATGGAACCTAAGGTGTTAATTCTATGCATTGTGTAAAAATGCTGTTTGACCCTGACTTCTCTGATCTTCTCCTCCTTCCAATGCTCCCCTCTTATCTCCTGATAAGATATATCGTGTGGAGACACACATGCTCAGTTTGGTGTGTATTGCTAGAGAGGTTTTTTTTTTTCTTGGGAGAGTGCATGTGTTTAGCACAGGGCCAAATTGGCACAGACTTCCGGTCGTCGCACAGCCCCGCCCTGACGCATTTCGTATCCCTATGACTAAGTTGGATATGGCAAAATGTGTCAGAATGGGGCTGTGTGGCGAACGGAGGTGACGGAACTGGAAGTGACGTGGGAGCTCCATTGTTTGGGATCCGGCGGTGGTGAGAGCATTGCCTTGATACCCACCAGTGTTTTAGATCTCACTGCAACACCTATGGGTTTTTTATCTGCTTATATTTTGTAAGTGGCTGTCTTTATAGCGATTTAAAGGTGTTATTACGTACTGCTCCATTGGGTTATTTCTTTTTTGTCCCTATATGACCATCTATCCGGAGAGAGAGGAGAAGGAGAGTGTTTATCCATGTTGCTATAAGTTCCTCATTATTATTAATCTGTTAACCTGTGAAGTAATGCCAGCTGATCATGGGAATGATAGGCATGGAGATTGGAGGATAAACAGAGAGGAGTGTTACAATATCGATTTTGGTCGATTTTCCTTCTCATTTGGATTCAATGTATAAGTGATTCTAGCCAAACATGAGAATGGGGGGCATCGCTATCCGGTGAGTGTATATCCAAAAGGGGCGACGCCATTCCTTGCACGTGGTGATTTCTTTTTCTTGGGAATTAGAAGATTCACTTGGTGGACAAGACTTTTTTTGGACTTTTATTTAGTTTTATTTCATTTTTCGCTTGTGCTTGAATGATTTTTCAGTTTTTATTATTTATTTATTCACATGCATATTTTTGCGCTACTGAATCACTTTGAGGGTTCTTCTGTTGACTATAGTAATTTGTTTAGAAGTGGCAGCATTGCTTATTACACATTATCACTATTTATTTATTTAAATTATTTTATGATTTGGATTTCATCACGCATCTAGCGCAAACATCTTCTGTATATATGTATGTGTGTGTGTGTATGCGATCTGTGCTCTGCCCCTCCAGTTCTCACTTGCCTGCCGGGCTGTATAGGAGGTGGGAGCAGCTTGCTCAGACTCTCAACAGCACTCTAAGAGGCTGAGCCAGCCTGCAGGTCAGGCATCTGGGTGGATCCTGATGTTATTGTCGGGATCCCTGCCGAGCCTGGACCAGCTCTGTGAGGTCAGATGACAGAAGGCTTTAGCTCACTGTCAGCTGAATCTGGGTCACAGGAGTGCATAGGTAAGTGCACTCCTTTGACCCACATGGAGAAGTATGGCCAAAAGAGGTTTGGCCATACTTCTCCTTTTTAAGAGGAAGACACAGTGCGTTTTCTCTGAGCTCATATTTTAGGTATAATTGTAGTGTTTAACTTAAAGCAAATTTTTATATGACTCACATTTTTTAAGCTTGCTTTATCACATGTTAGTTGTTGTCTTAAAGCGAAGTTCCACCCAAAAATGGATGCTCCGCTTTTTTGGTGCCTCCCTCCATCCACTGCCATATTTGGCACCTTTTTGGGGGGAGAGGGAAGTGGGTACCTGGTTATTACAAGTACCCACTCCCACTTGCGGCTCTGTTTGCTGCGGCGAAGTGAGCTGGACGTTTTGCCCCTTCCTCCCTCCCGAAGTCTCCTGGGAACTTTTTCACAGGTCCCAGAAGACTGCCGGATCAATCAGGAGGTGCAGCGCGACTTGCGCATGCGCAGTGGGCACCGAACTGTGAAGCCGCAAGCTGTCACAGGCTGGTGTCCACAGTTGAAATGATGGAGCCATGGAGGAGAGAAGGGTACATTGCTGGATCCCGGGACAGGTAAGCGTGTGCTTATTAAAAGTCAGCAGCTACAGTTTTTGCAGCTGTGTTGACTTTTAATAAACACAAAAACGACTTTAACTACAGAGATGTGTAGACTAGCCACCATTGTAAGCTTCTACTGGCTCAGTGCAAATATTCTTCCTCCCTCTTAACAACTGTTGAGATATCAGCCACACAGAGTGCATTGTTCTCAGTGAGTTGGCTGAGCGACAAACACGTATTGTAAGAAGGAACAGTAACAGTGCCAAACAGCAAATATAGTTACACCCGTGAGGTTTTTTTTTTTTCATTGTTAACACATATTGATATGTACGATTGAAAAAATGGACATTATGGTTGTATATTTTAACACCACTAACTGTGAAAAGGCCAACTCGCAATAATCACCTCCCCAGCTATCCCGTCACTTTCTCTTCCATTACAGCAGGCACCAAAATACCCATTGCCGCCTGCTGTCAGAACCTGGAGGGAGCAGTGTCATCGCTCCCTCCTAGTAATTGGGAGCTAAGCATGAGTATTGTCACATGGGAGGAGGCCATATGTTCCTCCATACTCCAAAAAACATTACTTATTTTGCACCAGCTGAGGTAGAGAAAAAAGCGACATGAGTTCACTGAAGAGGTGAGTATCTGTAAGTTGGGGGCTATTCACAAGCACTGTCACATTGCCTGAATGAGAAAAGTTACAGCCTCTTTGTGACAGGATCTCTTTAACCACTTGCCTACCGGGCACTTTTACCCCCTTCCTGGCCAGGCCAATTTTCAGCTTTCAGTACTGTCGCAATTTGAATGACAATTACGCGGTCATGTAACACTGTGCCCAAACAAACAAACTAAAAAAAGACTGAAAATTTTGAAAAAAAAGTTATTCCTTAGTTCCTATTATAAAATGTTGTAAATAAAGTAATTTTTCTCCTTAACTGATAGGCGGCACTGATGGGCGTCAATGCATCACTGGTGGCCATTGACAGTCATCACTGATGGGCACTGAAAACTCATATATGGCACTGTTAGGCGGCACTGATTGGAACTGTTAGGTGGCACTGATTGGAACTGTTAGGCGGCACGGATAGTTGACACTAACTGACACTGATAGTTGGCACTGACTGGCACTGAGAGGCAGCTGTGATGGGCACTGGTATGTGGCATTGATAGGCACTGGTATTTTATTTATTTATTTCAGGTACTTCTATAGCGCCGTCAATTTACGCAGCGCTTTACATATATATTGTACATTCACATCAGTCCCTAACCCTCAAGGGGCGTACAATCTAAATTCCCTACTCACATTCATACATACACATACTAGGGCCAATTTTAGACAGGAGCCGATTAACCTACCAGCATGATTTTGGAGTGTGGGAGGAAACTGGAGTACCCGAGGAAACCCACACAGTCACAGGGAGAATATGCAAACTCCAGGCAGGTGGTGCCGGGGTTGGGATTCGAACCAGTGACCCTAGTACTGCCAGGCGGAAATGCTAACCATTTAGCCACTGTGCTGCCCAATCTATGTGGAATTGATGGGCACTGACAGGTGGCAATTATGGACACTGACAGGTGGCACTGATGGGGCTACACTGATCATTAGGGCACTGATGCTCAGTGTAGATGTCCCCTGTAAAGAATGCTGCTTACCGGCTCTTCTCTCCTCTTGCGCTGTCAGCGTGAGGAGAGGACTGCCGATAACTGGCATTTCCTATTTACATGCTATCAGCTGTGATTGGACACAGCTGATCACAATAGAGCCTACTTCATCAGTTTTTTACTGTGATCAATGATTCGCTGTGTCCCAGGGACACCGCGCACCACCTATTGCCACAAATGCCGCCGGGGGGCGCGCATGTGCAGTTAGAGTGGGAGAACGTCATATGACATTCTCCCAGAATGAGAGAACCTCCACCCGTCCCTCATTTGCTTGTATGGCAGGCGGGAGGTGGTTAAAGCCTCATTCACACCATACGGGCAGAAGAACTGGTGGGAAAAAACGTGCAGAATCACACACAGAAGCACGAGTTTGCATCAGGTTTTCATGCGCCCTTCAGTGAGTTTTATACGCATTGCAGATTCCTGCGCAGAAAAAAAAAATCTATACTTGATACTAGTGTTGTGATGTGAACAGGGCACATAGAGAACAATTGTTTTCATTGCATGCTTGCAGAACTCATGCAAAAAAACTAATGTGGGTAGCACAATGGCTAATTGGTTAGCACTTGCGCCTGGAGGTACTAGGGTCATTGGTCATTGCCTTGAGTTTGCATGTTCTCCCTGTGCCTGCATGGGTTTTCTCTGGGTACTCTGGTTTCTGCCCACACTCCAAAGACGTGCTGGTAGGTTAATTGGATTCTGCCTAAATTAGCCCTAATATGTGTATGTATGAATGTGCGTTAGGGACCTTAGATTGTATGCTGCTTGAGGGTTAGGGACTGATGTGAATGTAATATAATACGCTGTGAAAATTGATGGCGCTATAGAAGTACCTGTAGTAATAATAATGTCTCTGCACCATGTTGTGAACAAGGCCTAAACCTTAATTCCACCTTGAGTCAGCCTTTGGTCCCCCAATGCACCCCCAATATAAAAAAGTTTTTAAGTTCTCCATAGATATCTTTTTCAAAAGGTCTTTTGGTCCACTCATGTGATATCATGGGTTCCCTTCCCTTTCTTCTGTCTTTGACAGTGGGCAGGTCCTGAATGCTGCAGAGAATGGCACCATGTAATGAGGCACTGTTCCCTGCAACATTCTCCTGTAAGCTCGGGGCAGGATGATGGTGCCCACGGGAGATGGAGGGGGTGACACCCTGGGCTAACAGGAAGTAGGTTAAATGGCATTAGGTGTCATTCAACTGAAAAGAGGACTGGCACTTGATTGAGGGGTGAGTCTGCTTGTTCCATTTAAAAAAAGTAACTTTAAAACCTGCTTACTTTCATTCAGCCTTGAATCTGGATTAATAGAAGCATTGGCATAGGCAGCTTCATTGTAATCTCAAATGTTTGTTGCTACCTGACCCACTATGAGCCACAAATGCTTTATTGGAGATGGGCAGTGGACAAGCAGCTTTATTTTTTCTTCTTTGATCTCTGGTACCCCAAGTCTTACCTTCAGCTGACAGCAGATTCAGCCAGCTATAGAGCCAGCTATAAAGTCTTCATTAATCTAGCGACAACTTTTTTTCTCCTTTCCTCTCCTCTAGGGTGAAAATTCTGTAACCTCTACAGTATGTATGGCCCTGCCCTATAGGGACATACAAATATCCCTGCTGAAGTGTAGAGGTTAAAGAATTTTCACTCTAGAGGAGAGGAAAGGAGAAAAAAAAGTTGTCGCTAGATTAATTACAGATGACTTGGTAGGAAGTAACATGGCATGGAGCCATAAAACATTTTGTAAGTAGTGGTTTCAAGCCTAAAAAGAAGTGTCCAGCAAAGCACTCGATTTTTCCTGACCCCATAGAAGTGTTTGCTGCTATGGTTTTTGTTATGACTTTGTCAGGCAACATTATTGAATAACCAGTGTTTTACCGGAAATGTTAATTAAATTCAGCTGCAATATAAACTTTCCACACCTGGCTTTACAGCACTTGTCCCAAAAATGATGTTAATAAGATATAATGCATTTAATTATTAGTAATAAACACTTGTAAAGCATTGGGGTTGATTTACTAAAACTGGAGAGTGCAAAATTGGTGAAGCTCTGCGTAGAAACCAGCTTCCAGTTTTTTGGTTTTTTTTTTCTCAAACCTTAGTGCAACCTCATGCACACTTGACATTTTTACAGCGGCTATTTTTGGCTTTTGACATTTTTTTCTACAGCCAGTAAACCCCCCAGCATGTTATCCTATGTGTCCATGGACACATAGACTATAATCAACATTTTTTGACTGGAATAAAAACCCAGGACTAGTGGGTTTCTAGAGGAGTTTTTTTTAGCTGTAAAAACGCTTTAACACTGAAAAACACGGCAAAACGCCGCAAACCAGAATTTTTTTACTTTTTTTTTTTCGAAAAAAAAAAAAACGCAAACGCAGTTAAACGCTAATGCAAAAATGCTAAAAAAAGCTGAAAACTCACATTTTTAACGTGACTTTACACAGCTAGCATTACCAGCGTTATCAAAACGTCCAGCTTTTTCAGTTAAGTCCTCATGCACACTGAAGTTAGGAGTGGATTGACTACCATGCACAGCTGCACCAGATTTTGCACTCTCCAGTTTTAGTAAATCAACCCCATTATGTAGCAACTAGCTGCTGCATTTAATTGCATTGTGTCATGACTTCAAGAATCTCGCCCACAGAATGGATATGCTCCAGTGGAGTTCTTTGTTGAAGGTCAAAGAAGCAGAACCTGCAAGACCTTAAACCCAAAGTTTGGTATGTTTTAGTCTTGTTTTGTCTTTCTTTCTTTTTTTTTTTTTTTTTTCCACGATACATGATAGACAATTGTGTATTCATTAAAAAGCTAATATTCTGTTTGACACTGCAACAGTGAAAAAGTATGGGTTTTTGTGTTTTTGATATTCAGTATGTTTCATGCAATATCCAAATTCTCCCTTCTTGAACCTTCTAATTATATCACAAAAATAAATTAATTATTTTAATATACCTGTATATATAAAGTCGATACATATAGTGTACTATACAAAATAGACCTGAGTGGGTATTGAGCACACCACATCCCCAAAAGAGTAATCACAAAAACAAAAAATAGAGTATGATAACTTTAACCTCCCTAGCGGTATTCCCAAGTGTAGCTCGGGGTAAAGTTTCAGTACCAAAAGCGGTAACCCCAAGCTACACTCGGGCACACCATGCGGCGTTGCTCAGGGATTCCCTGCAGCGCTTACCTTGTCCTTCGCTCCCGCGATGTGTCCCCTGCAGCATCCCCGGCCATCTCCTCCGGCTGGATGCATCGTGCTGGAATGGCGGCAGATTTAAAAAATTTTTTAAACTGTCATTTCCTTAGAAATGAATTTGACATAGTAAAACATTACTTTATCAAAGCATTTCACATACATTTTGTCCCTACTGCTTTGTCCTGTGCCCTGTCTGCATTTTGAGTTCTTTCTGCCTGGAAACTTAGAAAAGTCCATGGCGTCCAAAAACGTCCCTTTTGGTCAAAAGCTGTTTTAGACCAGCTAGAGAACAGCGATAGTAAATTAGAACCACTTGCAGAATTGAGTGATAATGATTCGTGGGGAAATTCGTTATCAGACACTGAAAACGATTTTGTGACTTTGCTCAGTGATGTGCGAACTTGGCGCTCTATTTCAAATTTCAGTGTTTTTGGTTTGATTATATTATTGAATTAAATTTATTATTATATTATTATTTTTATGATTATTTATTAAATTATAATTTATGATTTTGTGTTTCAAGTTTTATCCTACCCGGGATGTTTACTAGACTCTTGTTCGGACAGATTTCAGTGAGTTATTCCTAAATATTACAGGCCTACAATAAAAAAAAAAACATTTCCATGCAAAAAAAAGTACCGCTTTGAGCACAGAAATATGGACATAATCATACCGTTAGGGAGGTTAAAAATAAAATGACATCAATTTATTTATATATCAAATATTAAATTATTATTTGAGATAATACAATTGATGTGATTTTTATCTTTAAAGTTGTCAATTCCTGCAGATGTCATCACCTTTTAAAAGTACCATGCTTTTTTTGTTTTTGGGATTACACATTGTGTAATAAATTACGTGCATGCCTAGTCGGGGTTCAACTCCTACTTATTAGAGACATTTCCTCTCACTTTCTGTTCTGCTGACAATGATTTCACTAGACAAGATAAATATTCAAGGGCAACACAAACAGAAATCCTGTAATGGAGATCGTAATGAAACCTGTAAAGTAATTGAACAATCTAGTTGTGGCTGGGCTTATATTTTTAATTTTCAGCGTATTGTTAAGAAAGATTTTGCAATCACATGATTTTCCTCCTCTGAGTTGAGCCTGTAAGTTACACCCCCCTCCCCCCAGGTGGTGCATCTTCACACAGGCTGGGCTAGCAGTACCAGGACCAAGTAGCACTTGTGACTTCCGTTTTGTCTCCAAGGAATGTCTACCCACAACCAAGGAAAAAGAATCAGCTCCTGTAGGAAAACAAAACTAGACCAGCTGGAGGACTACAGTTATGCATAGATGTAAAACAAAAGATACAGGGAGGGGGGCTTTGACGATTTGGAGTTCCACGTTCAGCTTTTCATCCTTTATGCCTGTACTGATGGGCTTTTGTTGCGGTCAGAGCAGCTTCCCTCGCATACAAGTCTAGCTTGAAGCAGGTCAAATGCAGGTGAGAAGGATTTCAACTGCATGTCATATGCACCTGTCAATGAATTCTGAAGTTTCTGTAACCTATATCAAAAGCACACTGTATTTTCCCATTGATACAAGCTCAAAGCCCATTGATGCTGGCCCTAAATGTGCTTGGTGGTCTTATGAACTAATAGAGGTGTTGAAGGGCAAAATCAGGTGAATGGATTAGCTTACCTCTGTTTAATTGCTTATTAAGTGAATTGTCTTTTGTTTATATATGTAATCTATTTGGGCAATTCTTGCAGGTCTTCTTAGTGTAATCATGGAGCCATTTTTCAAAGGGGAAGTGTTCGATACATATCTGGTACCAATCAGCATTAGCTATGAGCGAATACTAGAGGAGTCTCTTTATGCTTATGAGCTCCTTGGAGTACCCAAGCCCAAAGAATCTACATCAGTAAGATTATCTGCGCCTTTTTTGTCTTTGTTCATTTGTAATGTATGTGTGTGCTATGTGTGATTTTTTTTTTTTTTTTTTTTTTTTTTTTTTAGGGTTTGCTAAAGGCTAGGAAAATTCTTAGTGACAACTTTGGAAGCATTCATGTGTTTTTTGGAAAACCAATGTCTTTGAGGTCTCTGGCCTCTGGAAGACTGAACAGATCCCACTATAATCTCATTCCCAGGTATTTGTTTCTTTGTATGCTTTTATTGAATCTGCCAACACTTTTCTTAACCACTTCAGCCAGATGATGTACATCCTATCGGAAGGAAGTTGTTAACGGGATTTTGGTAAAACAAAAGATAATGACAGCTACTTAGTTTTAAAGCTAAATTAATTAGGTACTGGTTTTTGTATGGAGTTATCTTGTCATTTTTGATTAAAGGATTCCAAGCTTAGTTGGAAGTTGGGAAAGAAAATGTAGCTGGAGGTAATATATAATTATATATATTTTTATTTTATTTTTTTATATATATATATATATATATATATATATATATATATATATATATATATACATATATATATAAATAAAATACAAATCTTTCAGATGCCTCCTTTGGGTCTAGGAATGGTAAGAAAATTGGAATAGAATCCCTGAAATTGTTCTGCGACCACAACTGAGGTAGTGACAATTGGGTCCGGAAGATCCAAGAGTGCACAGTGAAAATTTCTAATCTGTGTGGTGACACAGGAAGAATGGGGGTGAGAAACTGATGAGGTGGCAGGGAGTGAAACTCCAGTTTGTAGCCTGGGATACTAACTGAGATGAAAGCTGTCCAAATGTCCACAATGTTTAACAAACGCCTCCCTCACTTTGGAAAGTGGGTGTGCACCTTCAGGCCGAGGAAGGATTAGGAAGACTGCATTTTAGATCTTGTGGAGGAATTAAAAGGATGTTTTCTAACTGTGAAGAAGATGAAGATTTTGCATTTTAATAATTAGGCTTCTTCTTCTGAGATGGGTGCTCACATCAGTAGTCATGTACTTGATATTGATATCAAGAGTAGATCTGAAGAGACATCCCTCAAAGGCCATGCAGATTAAAAGCTTCTTAAATGCAGGTTCTGCATTTCAAACCTTCAACCAAAGTGTCCTTTGCAAAGATAAGTGCTTCCTACATCAGTATGGCAGTTGCCTTGTTAAGGCAGCACAATGTCTGGTCCACATTGGGAATAGAGCACTTTTTATACAAGATCCTCCTAATATGTGTGCAAGGCTATTGGGTGTGCTTGAGAGGGGCAAACAGATTGTCTAAGTGTTTCCAGCCTCCTGTAGTGAAAGAGTTGGAAAAGTAGGTATGTGCAACATGAAAGTCTTTGTGACCTTAGGAGTTTTAAAGGACCCATACCTGGAAACAGCACTAGAAGAAGCAACAGGCTGATTCTTTAGTTTCAGGCACACACTGCATTGATAGAAAACCAAAATGGTCTCTTTTAATTTGGAAGTAACAGCAGTGGACAGCATCTCCTCAGGGGCAAGCTCATCAGCCAAAGACTGGAGCCACTCAGAATCCGATTGAATCTCAGTGACTCTGGTTAAATAAGAGTCTGCAAGAGAAGAGGCAGGGAATCTTGAATGACTGTAGTAAAGCGACCACACCCAGTGCAGCTAAAGAGGACTCTAATGTAGGATAAAAAGTCTTCTACTTGATCACATTGGCAGGTGACAGGTACTGTTTATGGAGACATTTGGTGTCTATTTGACCCCAGTGTCTCCCCTGCCTCCATTGCAGCTGTTCAAAACACAGATCATGTTTTGAATAGTTGCATCCTCCACTACAATAGCCAAGGAATGACAGTTGTGATCCCAGAAGAGACGCAATACACATCTGTTCAGGAGAGATCAGGGAATGTATATTTGCCAACTTCCTCCTGATCTCACCATACAAGCTGTTTCCTGTGGTCCCGGGTTTCCCGGAGGAATGGGAGAGCCCGGGAACCCGCATGAGTGCTGCCAGCAAGGGGAGCACATTTTGAAACTCCATAAAAGTGATTATGCGGCTTTAGAGCCACCCAATTGCTTTTATTGAAAAGCCCTTTGCCAGCTCTTAAAGCTGGACCCAAGGTCACCAGTTTAGCTGTGAGCTTGATGTAACCATGTAACCACTTGTTACTTGTACTTTGGTAGATGAGATTTCCTTTTAGGCTGCGTGTACAGGCCAGCTAATGCCACCATGAAACTACATGATCAACGCACATCTTATGCGGGTGAATACACAATGTGAATGTAGGAAGGTTTATAATGCCTTTAAGGAAAAACAGCCTGAAAAAAAGAAAATAATGCAGCCACTAAATCTAAGGACTGGCAAGTTGCAAAATATTACATTCTCTTTAAAAAAAAAAAAAGTCAATAAGAAAGTTTATTATACAGAACAAAGAAACATAGTCCAAAATACCTGTGCCACAGTCACAGCATACAGTGAAGATATTAATCAGCATAAAGATACAAAATCTTAGAAATCATACAAACACATTATAAAGTGGGAAACAGTAGAGTTTGCAGCATCCTGACCCTCCGCTGATAAGTAAACAGGGCAAAAGCTAAAAAAATCATATCTAGAACTGTATTGTGACTACTCCAATTCTAAATCAAAATGGATCCGTCCTAGGGAGAAAGCCCCACCAAGGAGCTCAACCATATCCTAACAAACGTGGCATCACCAGCTCCACTGGAACCAGGCCAAGGGTCGACAGCCAGCCATTCCATATTTTATCAAATTTAGCCGGGCATCCCCTATGTTGTTTTTATATGAGTTTTTCATAGCGCAGAGTAGTGTGCATAATGGCAAGCCAGTCCTGCGTGGATGGTGGCGAGGGGCTCTTCTAGCACAACAAAATCACCTTTTGGGCTTGGAACAAAGTTCTAGATACTGCCTCCTTAACAAAAGCATCAGGGATCACCGGATCCAAAATACCCAGAATACAACACTGAGTTTGTGGTTTTTCTCTTTTTATTACCATTATGTTTGTGTTGTATACGATCAATACCTTAGCTGTATATTTTTATTTTTGCTGTTTTATTTTAGATATCTTTCTCAGAAACCTTCAGAAGATATTCAGAAGTTTATTTCTGATGTGGCCTATAAAGTAGAGCTTCACCAAATAGCCAACATGGTACTCAGCCCTGGAGTCTTGATAGCCGCCATTTTGCTGCAGAATTTTCCGTCACTCAGTTACAATCTATTAGTTGACAAGACTTTGTGGCTGAAGGATTTAACGGAGGCCTTTGGGGGATATCTAGAGTGGCCTGGTATGTATGTGGAATAGTTTGCACAAGATGTAGTCTAATGCATATACACAGAGAAGACCATACAATTTTAATTATGACCTCCCAATTATATAAAAAAAAAAATGTGCGACAATATTGAATTACAAGTGAATCTGCACTTAGTTTTCCCTTAGTCCCACAAATACGTGCTGATCCTGCCAATGAAGTGTACCCCATGCAGCTTCACTCTCATGTAGGTTGTCATTGCTTACACTACAGTGGGATAAGAAGGAGCTGCATAGGGCCTGGCTATCAGCATTGTCACTGCTGTTTTACAAGCTTGAAGCATGTCAATCAGCAGCTGGCCACACCTAGTCATGCCCACTGCTTTCTAGACTGACAGTGCTGCCTATGCTGCTGAACCCTCCTACTGTGAGCTGCAGTGTCTGTGAGTGGGAGTTTATGAAATGCAAGCATTTTACTCAGGAGAGGTAAAGTAAGTTTTCACTTTTTTCACTTTGAGGCTTGTGCATCACATAGTAACTGGACCTGGAACATATTTACACTGTCACACAGGAGCCTTTAGATGTACTTTAACCTCCCTAGCGGTATTCCCGAGTGTAGCTCGGGGTAAAGTTTCAGCACTTTCAGCTACACTTGGGATTACCCTGCAGCGTTGCTCCGGGATCTCTTCTTCACTTACCTTGTCCTGCGCTCCCGCGATGTCCCTCCTGCAGTGTCCCTGGCAATGTCCTCTGGCCGATGCCGGCATCTGTCTTCTGGGTTCCGTTCCCTGCGACGTCAGGACGTACGGGGGACGGAACTGGCGGGAAATTTTAATGTCAAAAAGTGACATTCACTAAAATCACATAGTAAAACATTACTATATCAAACCATTTCACATACATTTTGTCCCGAGTGCTTTGTCCTGTGCCCTGCCTGCATTTTTACTGTTCTTTCTGCCTGGAAACTGAGAAATGTCCATGGCGTCCAAAAAGCGTCCCTTTAGGTCAAAAGCGGTTTTAGACCAGCTAGAGAACAGCGATAGTAAATCAGAACCACTTGCAGAATTGAGTGATAATGATTCGTGGGGAAATTCGTCATCAGACACTTAAAACGATTTTGCGACTTTGCTCAGTGATGTGCGAACTTTTTTATGATTTATTAAATTCTAATTTATGATTTTGTGTTTCAAATTTTATCCTACCCGGGATGTTTACTAGACTCTTGTGCGAACAGATTTCAGTGAGTTATTCCTAAAAATTACAGACCTACAATAAAAAAAACTACATATTTTCATGTAAAAAAAAGTACCGCTTTGAGCTCAGAAATACTGACATAATCAGACTGCTAGGGAGGCTACATTGGTTGTAAACCCTTACATATACCTAGTGAAGTGACTGGCCTGAGGCTATAGACAAAGATTATGCAAATTCTCCTACATAAGTTGTACCTGTTTATCTATAGCTGTCTGTCCTGTACAAGCTTGTCTACGTTTTTGAAAAGCAGGGAGTGGAGAGCTGAAACTGAAAACTACAGAGCTTAGAGAGGAGCGCTATGAGAGCTGATCGGAGGGAAGGGACACACTCCCTTTCAAACAGGAACAGAGCTGAGGCTGTGCCCTCCCCTGACACCATTTTCTGCTACAGACTAAATTTGAGGCCATCACACCCCTTTCTGAGTCCCTATGGCATGATGGATAAGTATCTTCCTGTATTTCTCAGCATTGCAGACACCATTGATCCTGATCAAATCTCCAAACTCCATTAGCATAAATGCAGCCCCAAAGTTGCAAGGAACTTCCACTATGCTTCACTGTTGCCTGCAGACACTCATTAATGAACCGTTGCCCAGCCCTATGGCCAACAAACTGCCTTCTGCTACAGCCAAGTATTTCATATTTTGACTCATCAGTCCAGAGCACCTGCTGATATTTTTTTATACACCCCAGTTCCTATATTTGTGTACATAGTGGAGTCACTTAGCCTTGTTTCCACGTCGGATGTATGGCTTTTTGGCCACAATTTTCCCATGAAGACCACTTCTGGCCAGTAGATGGGTGTACCTGGGTCCCACTGGTTTCCACCAGTTCTGTGCTGATGGCACTGCTGGACATCTTCTGATGTTGAAGGGAAGTAAGCATGATGTGTCTTTCATTTGCTGCATTAAAGTGGTTGTAAACCCTTACATACTGTATACACAGTGAAGTGATTTGCCTCAGGTGATGCAAAGAGATTAAACAAATCCTACTACATAAGTTGTACCTGTCTTTCTATAGCTGTCTTTCCCCTACACCCATTCAAGGTGCAGAATTTACACAGGATCCTCCAGCTCTGAAAACAGGGGGCAGAGAGCTGAAATTACATCTGATTGGAGGAAAGGGACACACCTTTTTTACTGAGAACAGAGCTGAGGCTGTCAATCACCAGGCTTCCCTCCCCTGTCACCGTTTTTCTCTTGGTATTAGGGAAACTCGTTAGAATTGAATAATGCAGATAGCAGAGGAACAAAGCAGCAAACAGAAATGACACTTAGTGCTCTTCATTGAGACACGTACACACTATAGAGGGATATGCTTTGTTCATATTTCATGTCTGAGGCTTACATACGTATGTGCACAGATCAGTTACAATTTGTATGGTTATCATAATGAAGATTATTCACATTGAGTGACATCACTGCCCCGATTCTCCACCTCATCCAATCAGAGACTGTTTTTTTGGGGATTCCTTTTTAGCAAAGATATGTAGCAGAATACATTTTGGCCTAAATTTATGATGAAATTAGATTTTTACATTTTTTTTACTGGACATGTTTAATAGCAAAAAGTAAAAAATATTGGTTTTTTTTTCTCAAAATTGGCGGGTTTTTTTTTGTTTTGTTTTTTTATAGTGCAAAAAATAAAAACCGTAGGGTTGATCAAATACCACTGAAAGAAAGCTCTATTTGTGGGAAAAAAGTACATACATTTCATTTGATGTGCAGCATTACAAAAGGACGTAAATTTAATTTGGGTGCAGCATTGCATGACCGCGCAATTGTCAGTTAAAGTAACGCAGCACCATATTGCAAAAAATGGCCTGGTCAGGAAGGGGGGTAAATCTTCTGGAGGGCAAGCTGATATTAGTTGACTGCATAGAAGAATTGCTTAGTTTCAGTAAAGAAACAACTAATTGCTATTGCAGCTGATATCTGATACCCCTTTGTAACTCCACACTATGTCCTTTTTTCCAATATGAATCCACAAATTTGTTCTCTGTTTAACTTTAGACAACATGTCTGCTAGTAAAGTGGTGCGGTCCAGTCTAGACCTTCACGCAAACATTACAAAGCTTGTCGATGGTGAGGTCTTCCTGTTTGACAACAACCCAAGTGGCGTACTCACGGAAGAGCTGGTGTTCAGCAGAGCAGTCGCTGTAATCATGTGCGCCTCCTACAGGAATCAGATGGTTAATATATATGCAAGACCTGCTCTGGTGGTCCTGGCAATGAAAATGGCACAAAGTTCCAGGAGTGGTGAGGAAATCTATTGGTTTTGTTTAGGGAGAGGAACAGCAGGTGTAATTCTAGTTAACAGTTGGTTTCCTTTTATACTGTGTAAAAATCCAGTAGGTTGGTGAAACATTTGTATCTTCAGGGTGCAGGGCCTGAATAAATAGTTTTCCTATTCTAAAGAGTCAGCACACCCAAAACTGATATTTCAGTTTTTGGTAGATGCTGCAGTGGTTAACTACTTGATAGTTTCTCTGGAATTTGGTGGAGTGCAGAAACTCTCAGCTTTGTGTGCCTGATGGTGCTGGTGGGGTTTTTAACCTCCCTGGAGGTATTCCGGAGTGTAGCTCGGGGTAAAGTTTCAGTACCACAAGTTGTAATTCCGAGCTACACTCGGGCTTACCATGCGGCGCTGCTCCGCGATCCCTCGATCACTTACCTTGTCCTGCACTCCCGCAATGTCCCTCCTGCAGTGTCCCCTGTAATGTCCTCCGGCCGATGCCAGCATCTGTCATCTGGGTTCCGTCCCCTGCGAGTGTCAGGACGTACAGGGGACGGAACTGGTGTGAAATTTGAAAATGACAAAAAGTAACATTCACTAAATACACTAAAATCACATAGTAAAACATTACTGTATCAAACCATTTCACATACATTTTGTCCCGACTGCTTTGTCCTGTGCCCTGCCTGCATTTTTACTGTTCTTTCTGCCTTGAAACTGAGAAATGTCCATGGCGTCCAAAAAGCGTCCCTTTAGGTCAAAAGCGGTTTTAGACCAGCTAGAGAACAGCGATAGTAAATTAGAACCACTTGCAGAATTGAGTGATAATGATTTGTGGGGAAATTCGTCATCAGACACTGAAAACGATTCTGCGACTTTGCTCAGTGATGTGCGAACTTGGCGCTATATTTCAAATTTCAGTATTTGTGGTTTGATTATATTATTGAATTAAATTTATTATTATATTATTTTTTATGATTATTTAATAAATTATAATTTATGTTTTCGTGTTTCAAATTGTAACATACCCGGGATGTTTACTAGACTCTTCTTTGGACAGATTTCAGTGAGTTATTCCTAAAAATTACAGGCCTACAATAAAAATAAATATTTCCATGCAAAAAAATGTACCACTTTGAGCACAGAAATATGGACATAATCAGACCGCTAGGGAGGTTAATACTATGTAATTTCAAAATCATATCAACCTGTTACTCAGGACTCCAGTAGAGTCACGGGGAAGCATGAAAAAGGCAAGTATCATTTGGAGCAGGGCTTGGCTGTCATACCATTTTGTTATTTGATTGTCAAAATGCAGGTTTCCTTTACATTTTTGCATCTTTTTGCACAGTCCCTTGGTCTGTTGAAGTTACAGAAAAATAATATTCACATGTGTATTCCTAACTAAAAGTACCCAACTTCTAATCTCCAAATTACTTTTATTTGCTTCTGTGGTCTGACTTCCTGTTAGAGGGTGGCTACATTCATTCTTCACTGTCTTGCTTCCGAGATGGATTATGATCTATGGACTATGGGATTTGTAGTGTACATCGAGTGGTGCATATATCCGCAACTAATGTCTACTGCTCATTCCAAACAAATGGAAGTGAGGGGTTAAGGAGAGGTTTGGGAACTCATGGTGGATGTTACAAGGAGGTAGAAAAACACAGTAAGAAATAATTTCATGAAAAATAGATTACAGGGGGATTTAGTAGTGGATGCGTATGGATTATTTTTGTAGAATAAGGATAGCGTTTGGTGTCACTTAAAGAGGAGCTCCCATATAAAAACCATAAAAGTCAGTAGCTACAAATACTGTAGCTGCTGACTTTTAATATAAGGACATTTATTGTCCAGAGATCCAGCGATGTCCTCACCCGAGCCGATTCTTCAGTTGGCTTCGGGTGCAGGTGCCGGCATCTTCAGTAAGGGAAACTGGAAGTGAAGCCTTGCGGCTTCACAGCCGGTTTCCTACTGCACATGGCAAAGTGCACGGTGTTTTGTGAATGGTTCTGCAGTCTTCTGGGACCTGAAGTGTCCCAGAAGGCTGCAGGGGAAGGAGGCGGGGCAGGCGAACTTCCGGCTCAGATCACCGCTGCGCATCTAACCGGAATTGGGAGCAGGTACACGTGAAAACCAGGTACCCAATCCCCCCAAAAAAGTGCCAAATGTGGCAGTGAAGGTGGGGAGGAGAAGGCTGCAAATGAGCGGAACTTCCCCTTTTGGGTGAAGTTCTGCTTTGAGGGCTAGTTTATGCCAGCATTGCTGTCTGAAGAGTGATCCGTGTCCAGATTGCCCTTCAGAGATCATTTGACAGGCTGCATCGTGCTGTGGGGATAATTGTTGCTTTACTGTAATGCAAAGCATCGTGGCCACAACATATATACTTCCCACCACTGCCTTTACAGCATAAGGGGCAGCAGTTGTGAGGGGTGGTAAAAATGTGGCTCAGCTTTTTGTTTTTACCACCACCATGATGATGATGATGATAATATGATTTATATTGATAAATATGATATCGTTTTCACAAAAATTCCAGTTTGCAGGCTGTACGTTCTGTTCACAAAAAATGGCAACTGTCCCAACCTATTGCCAGCAATAGCAGTAAGGTGCACATGGAAGGGCAATGCACATCACAAACAAACACAGGAATTCCCAGCAACACTTACCAGCCAGCCTGCAAAACAACCAATTTGGCCCTGTCTAATAGTTTGCATTAAAAACTGAGGGTTTTTTTTTTTTTTGCACACATTTGAAAATACATGTGTAAGCCACAGTCGCGCATCAAGGGTCCTCTGTATACTGTGGACCTAACTAAAACTTCCAAAACCTCTATAGTGGGAGAACATGTATCAATGGATAGGTTAAAGCGGAGCTCCACCCAAAAGGGAAAGTTCCGCTTTAAAGACTGGTCCCCCCGCTCCCCATTAAGGACTGGCAGCTGTGGGGGGGGGGGAGTGGGTACCTGAATTTGACAGGTACCTGCTCCCACGTCCGGTAGGCGATCGAAAGCGGAAGGTGTCCTCCCTCCCAGTAGTCTTTTGGGACACATGACAGGTCTCAGAAGACTACAGGACCATTCCGGAAGCGCAGCGCTACTCACGCATACGCAGTGGGTACCCGGCTGTGAAGTCGCAAGCGGTCGCAGCCGGGTGCCCACACTGAAGATGCCAGCGCCAAGGGAGAGAAGACGGCTGGTAAAACGGGCTGCAGGGGACACACCGTGGGACCAAGGGACAGGTAAGTGTGTGTTTTTTTTAAAAGTCAGCAGCTACAGTTTTTGTAGTTGCTGACTTTTATTTTTTGACAGCGTGAGTGGAACTCTGCTTTAAGGGCAGGTGTGCCTGGAGGATCACACCCCTCCTTAAAGGTACAGGGACATATGTGACACCCAGCTACACAAAAAATGGCAATCATTTTGTTCAGCCAGTTTGCCAATATAATAACTACAGCTAATAAATTGATCAGTTTCTCTCTTCCTTTTTAAAGATTACCCTGTATGGTACCTTGCCAATATAAACATGGTGATTTATACAATACCAGATGTGGTTTATAAAATCCCAGCCTGTCCTAGCATCTCTGAAACTGTAACAAAATGTATGGAAACTATTGCTGGGATACTCATCTAGCAGCTTCCCTCCCGGCCTATAGCAGAATGAGGACCAGGTGGGACACTCGCCATGGTGACTGGGCGTCTTATGATGTCCTGTCAAAATGAGCCACTCACGGGGCCGCACAGCGGCACAATCTGACTCTGGCTCTGTCTGTATCATGTGACTGCTTTGACCAGTCACAGCAGATCACATGTCAATTGTATACAATGGATGGCTTCCTGCCATGCCATCCATTGTATACAATTGCGTTGTTGGCTGTGATTGGTCAAAGCAGTCACATGATGCAGACAGGGCCATTCACAGCCCATCTGTATCATGTGCTGAGCTTTACCCAATCACAGCTAATCACAACAAAAGACTGAATGAATCAGTTTCATTCAGTAACAATGATTGCAAATATCAATGAAATACTGTACATTGGTATTCGCAATCATAATGTGTTAAAAAAAAAAAAAAAGAAGAAAATCCTGATCACTTGCACAGAGTAGTTCAATGTTACTATGGTGACATTGCATTGCCTTGGTCAGTGTGTTGAAAAAAAAATAGTAAAAAAAAGAAAAATATAATGTAATGAAAAATAACAAAATAGAAAAATGTGGAAAAAAAATACAAATTAAATTATTATTATTTTCACAAGAAATATAGCAGAATACATTTTGACCTAAATTTATGAAGAAATGTTATTTATTTGCAAACTTTTATAACAGAAACAAAGAGAAGTGCGTTTTTTTTAAAAAGTTTTTTGTTTTTATTTAGCAAAATATAAAAAACTAAGTGTTGATTAAATACCATCAAAAGAAAGCTCTATTTGCGTGAAAACAATGATAAAAATTTCATATGGGTACAGTGTTGCATGACCGCACAGTTGTCATTCAAAGAGCAACAGCACTGAAAGCTGAAAATTGGCCTGGGCAGGAAGGGGGTATAAGTGCCTGGTATTGAAGTGGCTAGCCATGATCAATAAAGAGGCCTGCGGGATTGTAATTGCACTTTGCCACTATTCCCTGATGATTCCCAGGTCGTCTTGTTTGTTCCATGACGCTGCTTATCATTAGGGGTGCTTCAGAGGTTACAGAAAATAAAAATGGAATAGAATTTATAAAATGTACACATAGGTTGTGAATAGGACTGACAATGTTTTACATGTGTCTTTATTTAAATTGCTGATTTGTTTCAATTTATTGACAATTCTTTTTCTTTTCAGAGGATGTTTACAAAGTGTTTGACTTTCTACGAAACCTTTTTTCCAAAGAGTTCATCTTCTTTCCTGGTTTTGAAAAGAAAGTAAGAAAATTATTTAGCATTACAGTATGTAAGATTATACAAAAATGATTGTGTGAGCACATCAACATTGACTAAGGCTCTCTTCACACTTGATGCAACTTTGGATCAATATGACTTTGGCTTTGACAACTTTGGCTTTTGATGATTGTTGTGCTCTACAAAGTCACACACAAGTTGAATGTATATCATTCAGGTGCGACTTTCATGCGACTTTGAAGGGTTCACATTGAATTCTGTGGCCCTCAAGTCGCATGAAAGTCAGACCAAAGTAGCGCAGGAGCTGCTTTCAAGTCACTGTGACTTGAAGTCATACAGATATGAATGGTACTCATTGGGAAACTTGGAGTGTGATTTGTTTTGCTACTTTGGACCCCAGAGTTGCCTGACAAGTCTCACAAGTGTGAATGGGCTCTTAAGGCTTATTCACACCAGAAGGCGGAGCGGGAAACCCACGCTCTGCATGTTTCTTGTACCACATTCAAAACACACTGGGTGTGCAATCTGCTGCTGGTGTCAATATATTCCTTACAACACCCCAAAGCCAGATCAGATGCATTTGCCTGCACTGAATTGCATGATAGTACCATACATTTTGGTGCAGTGATTTTTTTGAAAAGTAGTGCATACACTACTTTTTTTTGTGTCATTTGCTCCATACTGAGCCACACAAAAATCACCCAGGAATGGGCCCTTAAAGCTAAAACTTATATTAAATAGGAACTACGGACAAAATCAAATATGACATTTATGTTTATTAATAGCATAAGATAGCACAGGGCTTAAAATTTCAAGTCCTGAGCTACTAGCCAGGCCTTAAGAGTTACTCATCACCAACAAACACACACAAACAAGAGACACCTGTACATGCACACACAAACATGTACACACACGCACACACATATACAGACACATGTATACACACACAGGCACGTACAGACATGCATACACACAGATACATGTACATACACAGAAATACATACACACAGACACATGTGTACAAACACACATACATGTACATAGACACAGACACATGTACAGCAGATAGACACTTGTACATGCATACACAGACACATGTACATGCATACACAGACATATGTACATTCATACACACACACACGCTGTTAAGTGCTCTCTTCTCTTCCCTGAAGCCACCACTGGCTGACATAGAGGATCATGTGACCAGAGTGAGCTGAAATTAGACACACACACGCACACCCTATAAAAAAGTTGCAGTACTTCGTTGTTCACTCACAGAGCCAGGTACTGCACTCTAGGGGGAGGCAAAGAGCACAGCACACACTCCTTCCTTTGCTTTCACTGCACTCAGCTATTGTGCAGTCTGACGGCTCCCAGTGCCACTGACAAATCCGGCCTGAGCTCCGAGCCTGCTCAGCAAGACGGCCCTGGGGGACACACTCGCCCCCCACATAGCAGAGTCCTCCTGTAACATAGTTTATTACATATTGATCCTCCCAGTAGATCTGTTATTTTTCCACTCCCTGTAATACACCATGCTGTCCAGCAAAGGTGGCAGTTAGAGGGTTGGAAAAAAACATACTGACAAATATACCTATTGGATTCTTCCAATGATTTTTGTCTTTGCCACAAGAGAGAATGCTCTTGTTTCAAAAATATTTTTGCTAAACTAGAGGATCCTGCAGGAAACGTATGCCCTCCATGGGAGATGGGAATTTGAGTGAGCCATGCCTATGCCCCTCTTCCCATAGTCCCCAGTGTATTAAAGAAAATCTGCTAAGAGCAGGTGGAGGTGATTGTCAATGCTTTGTGGTGATGCAGCTTAAATGTATGTCACTGATGTTGCCTACTCCCTTTACATTACTTGCAATGATGATCTTGTCTCTGTTCTATGTTTTTAGATTGTAAGCGTTAACAAGTAGGTCCCTCTTTTTCCCACTGTATTAAATTGTATTGTCTGCCCTCATGTTGTAAAGCTCTGCGCAAACTGTTGCCGATATACAAATTGGGTAAATGGTTAGCAGTTCTGCCTAGCAGTACTAGGCTAGTAGGTTTAAATCCCGTCCACGGCACCACCTGCCTGGCGTTTGCATGTTCTCCCTGTGCCTGCATGGGTTTCCTCCAGGTACTCCGGTTTCCTCCAACCCTCCAAAGATATGCTGGTTGGTTAATTGTATCATTTCTAAATTGACCCTATTTATTTATTCATTTCAGGTACTTACTGTATATAGCGCCATCAATTTACGCAGTGCTTTACAGATATATTGTACATTCATATCAGTCCCTAACCCTCAAGGGGTGTACAATCTAAGGTCCCTAACTCACATTCATACACATATTAGGGCCAATTTAGATAGGAGCCAGTTAACCTCCCAGCATGTCTTTGGAGTGTGGGAGGAAACTGGAGTAACCGGAGGAAACCCAAGCAGGCACAGGGAGAACATGCAAACTCCAGTATGTGTATGTATGAATGTAAGTTGGGGACCTTAGATTGTACGCCCCACTGATGTGAATGTACAATATATATGTAAAGCGCTGCATAAATTGATGGCGCTATATAAGTACTGTAATACATAAATAATAAATATAATAATCCCATTACTTAAACCCAAAAATGTAATATATTGCAGGTTTTGCGCTCTTGGATGTGATGGTTACATTGCTTTTCGCTTTAAGATTTCTTTTTTTTTTTCTTTAAAGGACTTCATTTGCAGGGACTGGTTAGCTGTGATATATTACATTTTTGTTCTTTGATTTTGTTATGCTTCAGTTAAGTTTATTTTGAGTTAGATTTTGGAGACTGCAAGCAATTGTGAATATGTGTCACATAATAAGGCTCCATTCACACTTGTGCGACTTGTCATGCAACTTTGGAAACATAAGTCGTATGGCAAGTTACAGCCCATTGTTTTCAATGGCACCAGTTCAGATCTATGCGACGTAGAATATGTTCCTGCACTACTTTGATGTGACTTTGATGCAACTTGAGTTCTAGAGAATGTAAAGTCGCATAAGAACGGCATCAAAGTCGCACTGGAAATGATGCACCTTTGGAGTCACACAAGTGCGAACGGAGCCTAAGTGTCGTTTTTCATTACCAGGATTTTGAAGAAGGCTGCTTTCTGCTATCCAAATGTGATGTGGTTCAAGGCAGTCCACATGAAATGGTTATGACGGAGAAAGGGATCAATACAGCTGCGTTTTTGTTGAGAATGTTTCAGCCTTTTTTTGATGGATACCGGGTAGGTATTGATATCTGTATGGACTTGAAACCAAGTTCAATGTGTTCATGTAGGAAATTGGGGGTAAATACTTTTGTGAAAGTGAACCGGAGCTGACCTAAATTATTTCTAAGGTAACAAAAGTGCTAAAGCGCAGCATCTTGTTCGATTTTGAAGTACCTGTGTTACTAAAGTCTGAATTTTCTTTTTTTTTTTTTATTAAAATAACAAGCATGTTATACTCACCTGCTCTGTGCAGTGTTATTGCACAGAATGGCCCCGATCCTTCCCTTCTCGGGTCCCCCGCTGGCCATCTCTGCACCTCCTCTTCTTTGTGTGTCCCCCATAGCAAGCTGTTTGCTATGGGGACACATACTGCATACACTCTCTCGAGCTGTGTGTCTATGGAGCCGCACTCCATAGACATACACAGCAGGACTTAGCCCCGCCCCCCACTTCCTCTTCACTACATTTGATTGACAGCAGCAAATGGCTCCTGCTGCTGTTCCAGTCCCTGTGTGAAGAGGAAGAGAAGGAATAGGAGATGCAGCCGTGCACAGCTCTGATTTCTTCTCCCCTCTCTTCCCCTTCACACAGGGAAGGGGGAGCACAGACAAAAAAAAAAAAACTTTTTTACCTAAATGCAAGCAATGCATTATTGTAAAAAACATTTTTAGGTTTAGTATCACTTTCATCTTTAAATCCTGTGTGACTGTGGAGCCTCTTAGATCATACCTCTGTTATGCATGAGGCCTAAAATTCTAGCTATATCAGATTTAACCCCCCCCCTTCTGATTTTAAGCTCCCATTCCCTGACATACAACTGTCACATGCCTGAACTGTTTGTTGGCCAGTAAACGTTTTATTAAAAGAAAACATTTTGTTTGCCGTAAAGTGGAATTAAACCCATTGATTTACCTGTTACCTAAAACTTTTCCATTCAAGGTATGCTTTGAATGATGGCAGTCACAGTTGCTCGTGCTGTCAACCAAAATGTCAGGCCATCAAATGGCTACTGTCATAGCTAATCACATATGCAGCACCATGGCAACTGCAGATCAAACAGAGGTGAATATGGCAGCTTCCTTGGCTGTAAAGAATAGGAGGGTTTAGTTCTGCTTTTATTCACAGATGTAGTTGCTAAATAATTTAAAAACAGCTGAATGGAGGTCAGGTGTGGTGTCTGCTAAGCTAGCCATAGAATTTCTCATTTGTTCATCCCTTAGTGTTTCTGCTCTCTATCTCCACTGTTACTGCGTTCTTCTTCTAAGTGGGTGGGGCCATGCAAATGAATACTTTATGCCTTTGGGACGATTATCTGTCCAGAACCACTTTTCTTGTCACACAGATACAGCCTAATATTGTAGAACCATTCATATCAAACTGCAGGCTTGCTGGCCATCATGACTGCAGCACTTGGAGGCAATGCCTTATATCAGGGGTGTCCAAACTTTTTTCAAAGAGGGCCAGATTGGATGAAGTGAACATGGTGGAGGGCCGAACATTTTTCCCGAACATTCTTTGAACCATTACAATTAAATGCAAATAAATTATTTTATGCCAAGTTAATTGCAAACGACATACTTTTCATTTCATAACATTAAGATCAACTGACAGCTGAGTTTTCACAATGTATTGAAAATAAATTTAAAAAAAAATAACCTGCACTAATGTGAAGGGTGAAAAAGGTAGCTGGAGCTGAAGTCTCTGCTCGGCAGCCGGGAGGGGAAGAGAAACACACTTCACGCTGGAAGCCCGGCCCTGACGTCACCGCCCTCTGTTGCTCCCAGCGCGGCGCAGTCACGCATGCGCACTGCTCTCAAGCAGAAGACTGTCTGCCACAGAAGGGAGGGCCGTGCGACAGCCGCATTTACACAGACCAGGGAGAACGCGCCGCAGTCAGGCATGCGCACTGCCCTCTGCTCTCAAGCAGAAGACTGTCTGCCATAGAAGGGAGGGCCGTGGGAGGGCCACATTACACAGAGCAGGGAGGGCTGTTGGAGGGCCGTATTAAACCGACCCCCGGGCCAGGCTTTGGACATGCCTGCCTTATATGAATTAGAACTGCTATTGTATGGTTATGGTAAGTTGGAATAAAAGGAACCTGTGATGGACAGTTAGCGCAGGGAAATAAAGAAAGGATTAGCATGGCTCTGCATATTATCCTAAATTGGGAAATATTCCTCTAACTTTTGTGATATGTGATGGAAGTGAGATATAAACATCTTCTGTTATAAGTTATAATGTAACTTGCTAGCATTAAAAAAAAAAACAAACATTAGTACATTATGTTTTTAATGTAATGAACCCTATTGCATGTTTCATTTTATTTTTTTATTTCAAAGAATGACCATTTAGAAAACAACCAATATGTACATGATACTCATTTTGTCTTTGCACCCGTTTGCATTTTCCAGCTTGCCTTCAGGCACCTATTAGAGGACATGTCTAAGAAATGGTCAGAACAGCAATACGTATCTACTGTGAGGAGTTTTGTAATGCAGTGTATCCTAGCTGGTAAGCACAGAAGCTTTACATTACACTATATATAAACTGTAAGACTCACGCAGGCACGAACATAAACAATTGTGACCAAGAAAATGCTCTACCAGTTGTATATTAGTTTACAGTAAGAAAATGCTCTACTGTATATTAGTTTACAGTAAGCATTTCAGTTAAAGTGTTTGTATAGGCAGACTTTTTACCTTCATGCATTCTATGCATGAATGTATAAGAAACCTGAGTGCTGCTCCCCCTACACCCCGTAATACTTACCTGAGCCCCTTTTCGATCCAGCAATGTGCACGAGAGCCTCAGCTGTCCTTGAACTTCCTCTCCTCATTGGCTGAGACAGCAGCGGGAGCCAGTAGTTCCCACTGCTGTCAATCACAGCCAGTGAGCCAATGAGGGGGCAGGGCTGACCCACAGCTATTTGTGTCTTATTGCATAGAGCTGGGCCCAAGAGTACACTTGCTATTGGGGGCACCCATCAAGGGGGAGGAGCCTGGAGAGCCTGCAGGGAATCAGAGAAGAAAAGGATCGTGGCTGCTAAGTAAAAACCACTGCACAGAGCAGGTAGGTATGACATGTTGTTTTTTTTTTTTTTTTAAATCCCAACCTTTAATACCAACTTAAAGTGTAGGTAACCCTTAACAATGAACTCCCCCTATTTTCTCCTTTTAGTTTACTAGTTTAGAGTACTTCTCTTGGGCATCACAGGAGTGCGCTACGTTCTCCACTCCTCTAACCTGTTTTCAGCCGACAGCAAGCTAAAGCCCACAGAGCTGGTCCAGACTCTGGAGGGATCCCGACTTTAAAGTAGAACTTCACCCAAAAGGGCAAGTTCCACTTTTCTGCCGCCTCTCCCCCTACTTTTCACTTCTACTTTTTGCACATTATATATATTTTTTTTTGGGGGGGGGGGGGGAGCAGGTACCTGACTTTGACAGATTTCACAGATCCCAGAAAGCTGTGGAACCATTCACAAAGCACAGCTCGGCTCGCACATGCATTGTATAAAGCCACTAGGACTCACAGCTAACTTCCTGTAGAAAAGATGCCGGAGACCTAAAGATTGGTGAAAAACCAGCTGGGTGAGGATAGTGCTGGATCCCTGCACAGATAAGTGTCCTTATATTAAAAGTCAGTAGCTACAGTGTTTGTAGCTGCTGACTTTTAATTTTTAATTTTTTTTTTTGGAGGGGGGTATTGAAGATCCTCTTTAATGTTGGGATCTACCCAGATGACTGGATCGGTAGCTGACTCAGCTTCTCGACATGCTGCTGAGAGACTGAGCCTGCTGCTTCTACCAACTCCATAGCCTGGTGCTCCAGTGATTGCTGGAGAAGGACAGAGCAGAGAGCCAGTGACTGACGCTAAAAACCAAGAACTGAGCAATCAGTGGTCTTTGATCACTCAGTTCTCGGTTTTAGAGCTGTGGGGGACAGATGCAGCATAGGACTGATGCTGCTTCCACCTAGGTGAGTTTAGATGTGTTTTTTTTTTTATATGTTAGCAGACACAGTTCTGATGCAAATATGAGTGTTGTATTATAACTCATAAAAGGGAAGATGCTTTAGCTTAATATTTAATGCTACATTTTACAGGAACCACTACTTGTTATGAAGCCTTATCTTCTGATATGCAGAAGAACGCACTAGCATCATTTGTACATCTGGGTCTTGTGAAAGTTGGTAAACTGTAAGTATAATGAATTAATTATCCATTCTTTTACAGCTTTTCTCACATTCTTGTGATCTTAGCTAAAACCAGCCAACATCACTCAAATCTATGTTTTCTATAAATAGTTTGAGCCACCCACAAGCATAAACATTTTTCATGGAAACTAGTGATTTTCCAACAGTAGTTTGTCTCTGTTTCCACTTGTAAATATATAATGAATATGTCTTCATCTTGCACTTGTATTCCCTTGTCATTTATTCTGCAATATAGAGAATCCATGATGATGACATAAATTGGCTTCCTAAATACCTTGTCAGTGCAATGCCCATAATAAACTAAGAAGCTGGCATGTGAATTTATATTTTAGCCACCCTGATAAACTGTTAAGCAAACCGTTTTTTTTTTTTTGTCATTGTAAGCACCCCTGCTAATGTAAAATGAGTTGTCCCATCTCTGTAACTGATGTATTTTGCTGTAGAGCTTGTTCTTTTGAAAAACAGACCTACTGGCTTGATCATCAGATGAAAATAGAAAAAAGCCTAAAAAATAAAATGAATGCAGCAGCTGCATTATAATAAGGGTTTGCTTTTGGGTTTACAGACTGGTATGTGCAGCCTCTAACTTGTTTCTCTGTATTCAAAGCTTACTCATAGGGTACCACTGTGAGTAAGCTCTGATTGGAATGAAATGTATTAAATGCTGCACATACCGGGTGGCACAGTCTGTACGATGGAGAGTTTAATAAACTGACATCAAGGCTTTTAAATGGTGTGTGGGTTCCCTTTCTCTTTGAGAGTCTATTTGTGGAGCGGGCAGCAACTCCTGGGAGTCAGCCCCCTGTGTCGGAGGATCAGTGAGGATCAGCGCCTGTAGCGGATGATTACATCTTGCCTCTCAAGAAATTCTAGCAGCTTAACTGTAGCATTGTGAGATGTATACAGTATGTAAATGTTAACTCCTGCACAAGTTTCAGATATTTCATATACTTCTCTGAACTCACAAAACCCAAGCTTACAAACGTGCGTGGCATATTAGAACGCATACAGACAAAATCGATAAATCCTATTCATTGTACTTGTTAAAATGTAATTTTTCTTTTTTTTTTTTGTCTTTTTTTTGCTTGCTTATCTGATTTCAGTGAAGGACAGTCCACTTTTACTGTGAATGAGGCTGCAATTGCAGATTTTGCAGGAAAACTTGGTAAGTTTATTATATACAGTGCTAGAGTATGAGTATGAACATATTTTAATTACCTATACATCTATTGCTTGTGCATGTATGGTCAGTTTGGCAATTAGCAAGGATAGTATAGATTTATCAAATTCTTGAACGTGAGGTCAGTGGCACTCCATTGCTTTAGCTTGCCAATAGAAACTTCCAGTACTACTAGATGTCTGCTGCTTAAGAGCTGTAGCATATCAGTCTTTTAAAGCCATTATGGTCTTATTTTAGCAAACAAAGCATTGTTTAATTAATTTGTGCCCATTATCTGGGGATTTTCCAAATCTGTGTGAGGGTCCTGTCCCTTGAAGAATGAAGGACTCAATACTTTCTGGATCTGTCAAGCCTGGAAAAATTATCTCTAGTTGGAAGGAAGGCCAATTCATTTGTGATCTGTTGTGGAGCATTACATGCCTTAGTTCACACGTTAACGTGCATTGCATTAAGGCAGCCCATTCATTATGAATAAGCTGCCAATGCAACACAACCAATCAAAAAATGTAGTATGACCCTTTTAGCAAAGCAACAGCTACTCACAGTATGTGTACTGTACACTGTGTTGGGATGCCATTCAGAATTAATGGCACCACACCGCACCACACATAGAGCATTTTTTATTCAATGTGTATACCTGATGTTTTGTAGATGTACCCTAAATTATGCTTTGGTTACATTTATGGAAAGACATTTTGGAACAACATTAGGGGGTCAGCGAATCCAAAGATTAGATGGGCACCAGAGTATGATGGGCCTTTGGATGTGTGATAGATAGATAGATAGATAGATAGATAGATAGATAGATAGATAGATAGATAGATAGAGCTGTGCTTAAAAGTTTACATACCCTGGCAGAAATTGTGAAATTTTGGCATTGATATTGAAAATATGACTGATCATGCCAAAAAAAGCTTTTTTTGAAGGATGATGATCATATGAAGCCATTTATTATCAAATAGTTGTTTGGCTCCTTTTTAAGTCATAATGATAACAGAAATCACCCAAATGGCCATGATCAAAAGTTTACATACCCTGGAATGTTTGGCCTTGGTACAGACACATAAGGTGACAAGGTCCAGAAAGACAGGGATGAGCAAGTTTCGGATGGAGGAACTTGACTGGTCTGGTCCTGACCTCAACCCGATAGAACACCTTTGGGATTAATTAGAGTGGAGACTGCAAGTCAGGCCTGCTCATGTCTGACCTCACAAATGCACTTCTGGAAGAATGGTCAAGCATTCCCATAGGCACACTCCTAAACCTTGTGGACAGCCTTCCCATAAGAGTTGAAGCTGTTATAGCTGTAAAGGGTGGGCCAACTCAATATTGAACCCTACGGACCAAGACTGCCATGCCATTTTTGTTTGTGTGCGTGTAAAGGCAGGCGTCCCAATACTTTTGGCAATATAATGTCTAGTGTGTGTGCGTGTGTGTGTTTTATATGTATGTCCTGGGAGCTAAAGTGATGGGAATCCCCTACTATACTACTAAGCCCTGTCCAACCACCCTGATGTTTTGGATTTTCCTGTTGCATTCTCTATAATATAAAATAAACTGAAAATCTTCCAGGAACCCCCCCACCCCCCTTTCAATTGATCTGGGAATTGTGTAAAGGCAGAGATATTCCCATTAGAGTGGCCCAGAGATATAAGAAATGGTTGGGTGCTGAATTAACTCTCCTCCATCTACCAAATATTGAAATTTCAATGAACTTACCCTTTAAATACATTATTCAAACAATGTTTATTGTAGTGCACAATTTTATATTTTTAGGATTGCAGGTGCCAGTAGAAAAGCCACCAGTGGCACGACTTTAAGACTTCAAAACATCTTGTGTGCCAAAATTGCGTATGCCAATGGACTAACCACTGCATCGTTTGCGTGAACTCCTGCTTTCAGCATGAAAGAAGATGCATCTGGATACCTAATTGAAAGTAAAGAACCATAAAATAATGTGATATTGTGATTACAATGGTGCATTATTTTGTAAGCCGAAGAATTGTTTTAGTTCCCATCTACGACAGGTCATTATTTATGACCTAACAAAGCCAATTAGAAGAAACGACAAGATCAAGTGTTACTGCTGCTACTTCGCACAATGATTTTCGTTATGAGCTTTTCACAGGCTATATAGCAAATTGAGGTGCTAAAGAAGGCTTGTGGATGGCTTATATATCGAAATAACAGCCTCCACCCAACATTTTTTAAAATTCTCCTACTACCGGAACTACCATGCATATATCATTTTCTGAACCACAGAACTCTGAACTCAGGTCCTCATTCATATCACTTAGTGATCCATACAATATTTTTTTTTTTAATGTTGAATATTGCTATTTCATGTAACCCAAATGCTCTTAAAATGTAATATTTATTTCAATTACACCCCTGTTACTGTATTTTTTTCAGTTTCTCTTTTATTCTAAGACCTTGGGAATAAAATACTACTTTACTGTACAGTCTGCTCTAAAAAGGTATAAGCTGGAAAACACAAATTAAATGTGTGCTTTAAACTATAACAGATCTTTTTTTTCAGTGATTTATTAATACAAACCACATAAAAACCAGAACTGAATTGGTAATAAATTTGTGTATTTTGGAACTGTATCTTTTCAGGCATAGTTTAAATTTTGTTTTATGTACTAGTGATTTTAGGAACGACATGCTTGACTAGCAATATGCATCCTTTTTTTTTGGATATAATATGCAGTCATGTCTACAGTGTACTGATGTATGAGAAATCATGAACCTGGACTTCCACGCTTGGCACGGCCACACCAGATATATGTTAGGTTTAAAGAGAAATGAAATGGACATCTCCTTGTAATAGAAGAGGTAGTATACTCATCACTTCAGTGGCCCATGATTCTTACCTCCCCTCTGTTCCAGCACTGCCAGTGTGTTTGGCTTATGCCACTTATGGAAATGCCAGATGAATGCAGCTCCTTCCTTCAAACTCTTGGTGAATGCTAAGTCCTGTCATGATGTAGGGGTCAGAGGAAGGAACCACAGCACACTTCAGTGAATGTAGGCATCTGACACCTACTGCATAAAGACCGCAGTACTCGTAGAAGTCAGGAATCTTGGCTCAATAGATAGGAGTATGTGACAAACTAGGAGTGCAAAGAGAGGGCACACAAAGGATAAGCACACAGTAGTCAATGTGCGTGGGTCAGGGTTCCAACTATTAACAAAGCAGGAATCTAGGGGCACCACCTAGTAACCCAACACCAGCAACAATCACAATCTGTTTCAGGGAAGTACTCCCAAGTCCCAGTGTCTAGATAGTATCACACAACCAATATGGATCTACAGGACCTTTTTTGGCCCAGTTATACTTACCTAGATGGATGCAACATTGGTCACATGATCCCTGAGCTCTCACAGCTGCTCTGAGCAGAGACAAGGACTATCAGTCACCGCTATTTGCTCTACACCCCCAGCACTCACTGGAGTGCTGGGCCGTGGAGGGGGTGGGAGCTGCTGACTCAGGCTCTCAGCACTTCACCAAGAAGCTGAGCCAGGTGCTGCTCCAGACTCTGGTGGATGATTGTGAATTTGAAAACGGGTCACAGGAGTGCAGAATGAACTGCACTCCTGTGATCCACAGGAGAAGTACAGACAAAAACAGCTTTGGCTGTATTTCTCCTTTAAATCTTCTTCTAGTTTACTTTTTTATGACCCTGCAGACATGAGTTCATCCATGTCCATCACTGGAGCCAATTCAAAATATATGAATTATATACAGTATATATTGGAAATACAGTGCTCAGCATAAATTAGTACACCCCCAACACATTTGTCAGAAAACCTTTACTTTCCTTTCAGATACAACATTTTCTATGGGACACTATACTACAAAATACTCCACAAATGCGGGCCATTGATTGCAAACAAGATTTGTTCAATTGCGTGCACACACAAATTATTTTTCATAACAAAATTTATTCAAGACCATGCTGCAAAAATGAATACACCCCAATGAAAGTCTTAGGCGAAAAGCTAAATTTTAGACAACAAAATCCTAATTAACAAGAAGTCAACTTCAGGTAAGCCTAATTTAAACAGGTGTCCAGCAGACAGTTGATTATAAAAGGGTGTTACTTAACAAAGAAAACCCCTTCCCATTTCATGCTGTCAGTAATGGCACCACATGGAAGAGAAATGTCACAAGGCCTAAGAAAGAAAAATCATTTCTTTACACAAGAAAGGTGAAGGCTACAAGTAGATCAGCAAAGCTTTACTTATTAGTCAGAATACTTTAGCAAAAGTGATACAAAAATTTAACAAAGATAGAACTGCAACCATCTCAGAGATGTCCAGGCCCATCCCACGGATTTAACATCTCAAAAGGAGCATCTTCTGATGAGAATGGTTGAAGAAAAGCGCCATGCAAGTTCACTACAGTTAGCTAAAGAAGTAGGAAGCAAAACTGGGGTGATTGTTTCCCATGACACAATACGACGTACATTGCAGAGGAAAAGCATCCATGAAGGAACCCTCTTTTATAGCCCATGCACAAAAAAGCCTGCCTAGAATTTGCCAGGGCCCAAGCTAAAAAAGAAGACCAACTACTGGGACTCTGTACTCTGGAATGATGAGACCAAGATAAATGTTTTTGGAACTGATGCCTTCAAAACTGTATAGTGTCACGAAGCTGAGGAGTACAATATAAAATGCATGGTGCCTACAATGAAACATGGTGGTGGCAGTGTCCTTCTGTGGGGCTGCATGAGTGCTGCTGAGTGGGGGAGCTACATTTCATTGATGGTATCATGAATCCACAGATGTACTGCTCTATATTGAAAGAGAAGATGCTACCATCACACCGTGCCCTTGGTTGTCATGCACTTTTCTAACATGGCAATGATCCAAAACACACATCTAAGGCCACTGTTGCATTTCTGAAGAAAAACAGGGAGAAAGTGATTCCATGGCCAAGTATGTCTCCTGATCTGAACCCAATCGAACCTATGGAGAATTCTGAAGAGACAAGTTAAGCATCACACTCCATCGAGCATCCAGGCTCTAAAAAAGAGGTCGTTCATGAAGAATGGATAAAGATAGATGTTTGCAATGTTGCCAACTTTTTCATTCCATGCCTAGAAGGACTTGGTGCTGTCCTTACAAATCATGGAGGTCATACAAAATACTAGATGTAGTAGTTTTTATTGTGGGGTGTATTCATCTATTCCACTGTTGCATTTCTGAAGAAGAACAGGGTGAAAGTGATTCAGTGGCCAAGTATGTCTCGTGATCTGAACCCAATCGAACACCTATGGGGAATTCTGAAGAGACAAGTTGTACATCACTCTCCATCCAGCATCCAGGCTCTAAAAGAGATAATTATTGAAGTATGGAAAAAGATAGATGTTGCAATATGTCGTCAACTTGTTCATTCCATGCTTAGAAGACCTGGTGCTGTCCTTACAAATCATGGAGGTCATACAAAAATACTATATGTAGTAGTTTTTGTTGTGGGGTGTATTCATTTTTGCAGCCACTAATTTGAGCAAACTAAAATTTTTTGTAATCTAATGTTGTATTATTAACCTTACTTTCATGAATGAGCTAAACAAATGTTCTATAAAATTCAGTCAAAATTTTGGAAATTGTTCTTGTGTTCATTGAGCTATTGATTAAAATCTTACTTTTCAAAAGGGGTGTACTCATTTATGCTGAGGCAGTGTGTATATAATACTTTTTATGAACTCACATCACAGTCCTAGAACCTCTTGGGCGCTTTTTTCTTCTTTGGAGATGACATTTAAAATGTTTACCTAGTAGGATGGCTGCATGTTTTTAACAATGAAAACCAGCGCAAACCCACATGATCAATTACATTACTCAGTTTAAAAAAACATTAATGTGCTAATAAAGTAAATTTATATAAAAATATATTGATATATAAAAATTTAAAATTATAATCCAGTGACAAAAAAGCAAAGTGACAAAAAATCAAAAAAATCAAAAAAAACCCCCAGAAAATATATATATAATATATATATATAATTACAGTCCCGTGACAAAATTAAATCAAATTAAATTATAATATATTTTCCATTTGATTCTTCCGTGTTACTGATCCCTTCACCATCCACCAGTGCAGAAATCAACATTAACCGCACTCACCAGATAATGGTGTCACACACGCCTTTCAGGATTGTTAAGGGCTCCTGGACCCCCTTTACTTTGTCTGAGACCTCCAAGTGCTGTTTCCTCTTATGTCTAGGTACCTCTTCTGCTTACTCCTCTCACCGAATCCCCCAAAGGAAAATCAGGAAGAAGAAAAGACCATAGCGTGATACCGCAGTAACTTCTCCTCAAATTAATCTCTCCAGACCACTCACATTCTTTTGCGGGGTATAGCCCACTTTTTATTCAAAACAACAACGATTCTCTTCAAGAATGATCCACTTTTCATGTACACACCGATTATACAAGGACCCCACAGTTTAGTGTGCAGCAGGATGGCAGACCTCAGCTACAGACTCTTCTACTTAGGCTAAGATGGCCCCTTGGAACGCACCGCTCGGCGTGTGCGCTCCACTCACCGGAAATGACGTCAGACGACGGACCAGGCAACCGGAAGTGCGTCAACGCGTTTCGCCCCACCCACAGGGCGTTATCAAGGTCTTGATAACGCCCTGTGGGTGGGGCGAAACGCGTTGACGCACTTCCGGTTGCCTGGTCCGTCGTCTGACGTCATTTCCGGTGAGTGGAGCGCACGCCGAGCGGTGCGTTCCAAGGGGCCATCTTAGCCTAAGTAGAAGAGTCTGTAGCTGAGGTCTGCCATCCTGCTGCACACTAAACTGTG